CGCGAAAAATTGTATGTATGGATGGATGTTTGTTACTCTTTTACGCAAATACTACTGAAAGGATTTTAATCAAACTTTACAAACTTTACAATAATATAGCTTATACATCGGAATAACACATAGGCCACAATTTATATACATGTTTTATGTATATCTGTCTTTCTGTCTGAATGTTACGCCTTCAGCCTATTCTACGCAGACGTAGTCGCGGGCAGCAGCTAGTTATTTCATGAATAACTAACAATTAAATGAGCAAGTATTTTAAAATCAATTCATACTTATCGACAAATAAATATATTTCATATACAATGGTAGGGCCACACAACAGCCTTCCCTGTTGCACGAGTGGGCAGGTCCGTCCAGGTTAGTACCACGACCTCACAGAAGACCAGCGTGAAGTGGACGTGTTATACTTATGCGTTTCGCCTGGAGAGTGAGGTAGCCGGGGCCCTCTTTATTAAAATGTGGCATCGCATTTGTTAACCTTCGAGTGTTGCAAATGTAAATGAGCGGCGGTTATCACTTAACATCACGTGAACTGCCAGCTTGTATGCCATCTTCTCAAAAATATAGTTCATGAGTCAGACTAAACAGCTTTTCAAGACTTATATAATACATATGCAAGGAGTCATGACTCTTATTAAATAATATAATAAGTCATCTTTTGGAAAGGGGCAACAGTGGTTTCAATAACAATTTATTTTTGTAATTTTGTACGCTATTTTACTGTTGATGACAGATATGTTTTGTTTCTCACCAGACATGTGGAATGGACACCGAGGTCCTAACGTAAATGTATTTTTACGACATATGTTTTGTTTCTCATTAACGTAAATGTATTTTTACGAAACATATCAAACATAAAGAGCTGTGCATAAAGCTCAGTGTCAGGGCGCTCGCCTTTAATTCAATATACTCGGGCAACCTGAGTTCCATCCCTGGTGCCTGTAACGTTTTTATAGTGGGTGTCTAGATAATGTTGGGAAGATTTAATAAAAGATTTATTAGCAGTTAAGAAGTTGTATTCATCCCTCTAGTTTAATGTTACAATCCCTGGACTAGCTCAGATACAATATTTTATAAAAAATATAACAATAATAATGAGTTGGGCGCCTTGTCTGTTAGGAACAGACTGTTGTAATAAATACAATTAAGTATCTCAGGGAGTCGTGAGTACATAGGACCTACACATTACTTTGTGCGACCATAAAAGGTTAAATAATTAAATTAATTTGAGATGGTAAAACTTATGCAATTCAATTTCAAAAACAAAGTCCAATCAGGTAGTTATTTAAAATCTATGTCACCGCAGAGACATCTGCTCTGTGTGCACAGGTCAGCGTTGAGCTCAGAACCAGTAGATAAAGTCAGGCCAAGTGTAGTGTGTACAGCCACACTGTTGGGGGGTATGTAGGTGACCTCCTGCCAACAAACACTACATTGTAGAACTAACAAAGGCAGGGATTTGAATCCACCTACAATTATAAGATGTGAAACACTTACCAACTGGAGGTAAAAAACAGCATTCAATCGAGCAGCAGCTCAGACCAGCTTGCCAGCCACCTATGTCTTCAGCATCCACCTGTGATATTCGAAAAACCATACTTAGAAACACGAGACAATAAAATTCTCAACTACCTAACATTTTTTTAAATACATTCTCAGTGCAAGTCTTTTACTATTTTAGTCACATGAAAATAAGGTAAAGACTCCGGCGTAATTTCAAATAAATACATTCTCTTATGAATTTATCAACAAGCAGAAGGTTTTACGAAAAAATAAATATGAAATAGTGTGATTTTTACTATAGAAATCCGGTTGTCAATAAACCAGTGTCATAAAAAAAAAAAACATCGAAGGTTAAGGCGGGAGCTCCGCTCCCGCCTTAATAACCTAATCTATCCGAGTCGGATTCGCTCTGTGTCGGTTCTGTGACTCATTAAATTTAAAAAATCGGAATATCGATACGTGTATGATGGCGCCCGCTTCCTATATTTATCATGTTGGCAGAACTGTGTAAAGAACTTTTGAAGTCAAACGAATAAAATGGTGGATTTCTTAGTACAAAAAACACTATTTTTCTCCTATAAGCGTACAGCACCGCAATAAAGCGAATTCTGCTTGTTGATTAATTCATTAGAATTTATACGTTTAAAATTTATTTGATTTGAATTACGCCGGAGTTAAAGTTATTTACCTTTACCGAAAATAACAAAGGATCTTACCACGAGGGATAGCAAATTCAGCACAGTTTCCCAGACAGCAATCACAAGTAATACGACCAGGAACGTGTTCTGATTTCAACCTCTAGCCATGCACTGTAAAAAAGCGAATTGATAAGAAAACGAAATACGTAAACAAAACAACCACTGGCATGAACAAAACCAAGTAACTACTTACCAGTCGAAGATAGTGGATCCACAAAAATTAATTTATCGAATGTCAATTCGAACCGGCGGCAATCTCAAATGACAAGTACGACCAAATGAAGTTAACTTTTATATTCGTCCTTTCGAACTGGCAAACGTTCATATGACATGCAGCCTAGTCTTTAGAAAAACAACAATTTCGACAAAGTGATGAAATCACACGTTACAATATCCCCCAAGCACACAGAATTCACCTCGGTGAAATCACGGCTGTCCTCAGCCGTAAACTACTAAAACTGAAGAAAAACAGTAACTATCAAATATCAAAACAAATACTAAGATTTAAAAAAAACTACAAGTCTCAAGTCAAACTGAAAGAATAACTGAACAATCCTCAAAGCAACATTAACAGTTTCATCTTATAACTAAATTAAACATCCACCAAAAATAACTTTTAAGGAAAACCTCAACATCAAAATAAAACTTATCTATCTAAAAGACATGTGCTCGAATGAGAAAACTTTCATTAAATAAATAATGTATAAGTGACTATTTTCTGGATCAGTCACTTCCTAGCTCTTCCTGCATAAATTACATACATCATAGAAATATAAATAAATCCCTTATATTCCACATAAATCCCACTATCGCAACCATCCCTATCAGACCATAGAAAGAAACAAGAGAAAAAGAAAAGAAAATGAAGAAAAGAGTCAGCAGTCATCATTAGTCTCACAAACACTACCTTCCAACGACAACCTTGCATAATTCCATCAACCACATAACCATGTTTACTGTTTATGGAAATAAATATTAAGTTATGTAAATTATAATAAATATATATTGATACTAAATATATGTGGAAACCATATTAATATTATTCAGTCCCCAACTAGTGATTAATAACCCTAATCTGACTATACAGTTCGCCTTTTCAATATAAGACTAACTGAAATCAATGTCTTTGAGTCACCCTTTTTCATAATTATGACTGACTCTTGACAATCCCCTATCACTAGTCAAGTATTGAGTAAAAAACAAATACATAAATAATATCTAATGTGAATGAGTTAGCATAGCTTTAGGCTTATTTTAACAGCTGCTAACCGCTCTGTAAAAAAAATGCTACTCGAATGTTTAAGACTACCAAAATTATGTAGGTTTTAAGGCTTATTTAACGAGTTACCTACCACCGCTCACTATTGTTAACTATGGCAATTATAAATAGATAATTATTATAATTTTACATATATAAATAATGTTATGATATAACTTCATAATTATTATTATTTTTCACTCGAGACAGTCGTAAGTAGGGACTGTCTATCTATCTACAGTACTCCTAACCTAATCCAAATTAATTCCATCTTTTACATTTCCATTACAGTAATCATTCCCTTGCATAACTTGCGCCTAGGACACAAACTAACACAGCCTAACCTGTGGTCCGAGGGTTAGTCACCAATATTAACTAATATTTCCTGCTAATTACATTTCCTTTTCAGTAATCAATCCATTGAATAACCTGCGCCTAGGACACAAACTAACACAGCCTAACCTGTGGTCCGAGGGTTAGTCACCAATATTAACTAATATTTCCTGCTAATTACATTTCCTTTTCAGTAATCAATCCATTGAATAACCTGCGCCTAGGACACAAACTAACACAGCCTAACCTGTGGTCCGAGGGTTAGTCACCAATATTAACTAATATTTCCTGCTAATTACATTTCCTTTTCAGTAATCAATCCATTGAATAACCTGCGCCTAGGACACAAACTAACACAGCCTAACCTGTGGTCCGAGGGTTAGTCACCAATATTAACTAATATTTCCTGCTAATTACATTTCCTTTTCAGTAATCATCCATTGAATAACCTGCGCCTAGGACACAAACTAACACAGCCTAACCTGTGGTCCGAGGGTTAGTCACCAAAATTAACTAATATTTCCTGCTAATTACATTTCCTTTTCAGTAATCAATCCATTGAATAACCTGCGCCTAGGACACAAACTAACACAGCCTAACCTGTGGTCCGAGGGTTAGTCACCAAAATTAACTAATATTTCCTGCTAATTACATTTCCTTTTCAGTAATCAATCCATTGAATAACCTGCGCCTAGGACACAAACTAACACAGCCTAACCTGTGGTCCGAGGGTTAATCACCAATATTACCAATTACATGCCAATGAATTTGTTAATTTTAAGTGCCGAGTTATCACGTGCTCAGCGGTGAAGGAAAACATCGTGAGGAAACCTGCATACTTTCAAAATAATAATAAAAAATATAACGAAGATATTTGAAGTCCGCCAATCCGCAGTGGGGCCGCGTGGCGCTATCCTCAACTGCGGGACATGTATAGGCTGATACTTAACTTTTATCAAACATAGGCAGTTATCCGAAAGTTTCCAAAATAATGTTTATAGTAAGTTAATGTAATGTATACGGCGTGTGCACCGTTAAAACTATTATACTTCTGAAAAACGTAAAATCGTAAAACAGCTTTGGTTTTTTATGGGATCTAAAACTAAAAACCCAATTAATTAAAGTTTAAAGTTTTATCAGGAGCTAAAATAAAAATTAGATTAATTAATTTAACCCAATTCTTTTCTAGAATCCCATGAACCATGGCTCCGCTCTCTCTGAAGATAGTCCACGGTGGCGGCGCCATCACAAGAACCTTGCTGTTCGACAGCACCATGAGGGTCAGCGAGGCCCACGACATCGTCAGGGAGAAGGTGCTTTTGGATGGCCCTGGGAAAGGTAGCAGTAAAACATAGGGGATACTTGAGCCTTTAAACAGGAACTAAAGAGGGAATCCGGCTGGCGTTTTATTATACATTAAGCCGTTTACCGCCGCTTATGTTTATGCCTGTGGTGTTGTAGATGCTTTGACCACCTTAATGGGAGTAGCTCATCAGACCAAAAGTAAGAGTATGAGTTAGAGTAAGAGTAAGAATAAGACATCCATTGGACGTCGACCTTCAATGGCCTTATATTTTTAATGTACGAAAATGGCGAGCCAGCTGGTGGTCCCTCTGATGCTGTAAACCGCCGCGCATGGACATCTGCAACAGCGTTGGCGTTGTAAATGCGTTGCCACCTTTTAATAAAGTGAGCCCCGGCTACCTCGCTCACCAGACGAAACGTGGAAGCATTACTCTTCCACATCACGCCGGCCTTCTTTGAGGTCGTGTTACTTCTCCAGATGGACCTGCCCATTCATCCAACAGCAAAAACTTGCGTGACCCTACTACAGTTTATACTTATTCAAACCCCAGTCCAGGACTCTTTCTTCCAAAGTTTATAGTGTTGGTAGCTCACCACACAGATTTTGCTAAATGTATTTTATCTTGTAATGACTCGTCTGAGTCATTACAAGATAGATAGAGAACTGTCTTGTTCATTAACACTTGTTGACCAAGAAGGAACAGTGTTATCACGTACACGTTTAACCAATATTATAGATTTTATTGTCCCAACTAGTAACAGGTGGAAGTAAGACAGTAGGAGGTAGCAAAAACGAGGGACTTCTTGCTGATGTCATTTTTAACTACTTTTTGTTACAGACTACGGGCTGTTCTTAACATCAGCTGATGACGAGCTCTCGGGTGTGTGGCTAGAGGGGTATCGAACCTTGGACTACTACATGCTGCGAGATGGGGACTCTTTGCAATATCTCTGCAGGACCCGAAATTTGCGGATCAGAATGTTGGATGGTAATGTGATAAGGCGTTGGTGAATCATTTGGTTTTATAAAATGGTGAAATAGTTGATAGTGGAAGTGTTGTTTAGAAGTAACTAGTTCAAGATTGTTTGATTGCTGTTTACTCATAATCGTATTGATAATAATAACATTAATACGCTAATTACGGGTTGTGCAGCTGAGGAACTTAGAAAAAACGATTTAATATGAAATAATATTTAATAACATAACAGAATACATATTAATCAGATACAGTACTTGTCTGCTCTCCGACTATAATATTTCTATAAGTGAAGCCTTTTTATTGGCTGTTTGTCATCTAGTTTAGGGTTAGTTAGGTTTGAATAGCTGTAAGTCTTCCATATCCTAAATAAATAAATAAATAACTCTTAATAGTTCTTAATACTAATACTTAAGATACTAAGGGGTGACCAATCGGTCCGAAGTTAGGATGATTTTATTGAATGAGGCACCGGTCATTGCGCTATCGATTTAGGTGCAGTACGATAGTGACTGGGGATGTAACACGCTTAATGTACATCAAAAAAGAAAAAACGGACAAAAAACAAAACAATTATCAAAAGAACAACGAAAGGCGAACTGCCAAGCAACCTAAGAAATTTACCAAAATGGGTTTTACATTGAGGTCGAATATTAAGACCAACACCAGATCATCGGTATGTTATATTGTAAACTGATATTTTAGAAAAAGAAGAGTTTCCTGCCGGTCTCTTCTTAACAGAAACTGCTTTCCGAACCGGTGGTACCTTACGAACATATATATATATATATATGTATATATATATATATATATATATATAATTTTTTATGTAAAATTTGACTATTCATAAGAACGCGCAAGCGTCTATTTGAATAAAGATGTTTGATTGATTGATTGATCAAGTCACACATAATCATATCAATAACACATAACCTACATATCGCATACCATACACATAATCGCATCAATGCCATGAGCTAAATTTATCCCTTTAATTTTTTTTTTTGTGACATATGTGACAATTGATCAAACTATGTACTAAATTTCAGTCAAGTCGTTGTAAATAGTATAGAAAGAGTTCAATGAAATACATCCGAAGAATTTTATAGGCTTATCTACGCATAATCAGTGGTGGATTTCCAATATAGGCCGAGTAGGCCCGGGCCTAGGGCAACAAAGTTTATGGGACAACAATTAGTGGTATTTTTTTTAGTAACCTCGCCTTTGGCATCTCCCTTTTTCGCATTGGCGATATTCTATAAGCATTATAATCAATCTAGCGGGCCTGATGACTAGGTACCATTCTTCGGCTTCACGATCAGATATCATAAAGTACATGATTCTTTTGTTTTTTTTATTTTAACTTTACTTAATTTAATTTTTTATCCTTTATAGCGAGAAGGGAGCGGCAATCTTTAATGTGCCAACGGATCAGATGTCCTAGTGCGCATAATTAAAGTCTAACCTTATATCATTATAATTTCAGGTACCGAGAAAACTATGCAGATCGACGAATCAAAGTCCGTTAGCGAGCTGATGGTTGTCATCTGCAACAAGATCGGTATAACGAATCATGAGGAGTACGGCTTGGTACGTTTGTAATTTGGAATATTCATGGCCACAAATCAAAGCTCACCCACCGTAAAGCTCATATTTTATGAGCAAAAAGCGACAAACGAACAGGCGGCTCACCTGATGGTAAGACCACCGCCGCCCATGGACACCTGCAACACCATAGGGCTTACAAATGGCGTTGCCGGCATTTTAGGTTTCGTTTGCTGTTTTTAAATTTAAAAAAAAAACGTGTGCAAGTAAACTTTACACGCCGTTTAAGTAAAACAAAAATAATAATTAAATTTAAATACTTCAATTTATGATTAATTAATTATAAATTATAGTTTTGTTTAATTTAAATTTATAGTTCAGATACATACATACATACAGGATGCTAAATAAACGCGTCATCGCCGTACCACGTTTCCGTTACATTGTTGTCGTCAAAAGCATTCTGTTACCCCTTAGTCGCGTCTTAAGAAGTTTGACTTGAAAAACATGTTGCGTGTTCGCAACAATAACTGAATATTCTAATCTGTCTTAGTGTTTTGAAGAAGAAGAGAAACAGACGCAAGAAGAGAAGCCGGCTACTGGGACCCTCACTTTGAGGAGGAAGCAGCCGACCAGGGAGAAGGATGCGAAACTGGAACAGCTCAGCAAGAAACTGAAGACCGATGACAATGGTAATGATGTCACGTGACAAGTCGATTGTTAAACTGATTGTCTCATATGCAGTGGCGGATTTGTAGTCTAGGCCGCCCCAGGCCTCAGTAGATGTAGTAAGTTCCAGCGGCCCGTTTCTCGTAGCCCATCATATATGTTGTTCATCGCCAGTGAATTTTTTGTCACGATTGGCCGCACCTAATACGTGGCCGCCCTAGGCCCGGGCCTGTTGGGCCTTGGGGCGAATCCGCCACTGCTCATACGTGGTGTCAACGTTCATTTTGCAGATTATAAAGCGTTTGACCTGATCCAAATTAACATTAGAAATATGTATTATCTGTAACATTGTTGGGCAGATACTTGGTAGAGGTTAGGGCATAGTTCACCACGCGGAATAAATAAATAAATATTTAGGACACATTTTCACACAACGTTCTCTAGTCTCAAACCAAGCAACGCTTGTACTATGGCTACTAGATAACTGATAAACATACTTAAACATACTTTTCTTTTGTAAATAAATACATATTATACATATAATTATATAGGATGTGTCTGGGACACTAGAAAAACACAATATTTTTCCAGTAGTAAGCATCGAACCCACACCCTCTACCGCAGAAGGCAGGTACACTACCCACTACGCCATTCGGGTCAGTAAAACACTGCTGATTGGCGGACTTTACATATTTTCGAAATATTTTTTTGTTGTTATTTGTAAAATATGGAGGATTTTCACACCGTGTGTCCCGTCACCGACGAGCACTTGATAAGACAACACTTAAAACTGGGGTCGGGACTAGAACTTAGCTATAATAACCTTGGCAGGGCCACGCAACGGCTTCGGCTGTTGCAGAAATGAGCAGGTCCGTTCGGGGAAGTACCACAACCTCTTAGGAGATCGGCGTGGATTGGATGTGTGGGGCCGTTCAAATATTACGTAAGCAGATTTATTACAATTATTTGCCCCCCATCCCCCTTGCCAGCAAAAGTAAGCAAAGCTATTACTCCCCCCATGCTTACGTAAATATTTTTCAATTAAAAATATTTTTTTTTTATATTATAATTTTAATTTTCAAAATAAGAAAAATAGATTTAGGATAGAGATTAGATTTTACTGATACAATATTCAACATAGAGTAAGGGACAAATATTATAATCTTACGAGCGTAACTGTGTTAACACCCTTAGTTACGTTCGTAAGATTATAATATTTGTTTTTAAATTTTTGGTACTTTGGATTATTTAAAGAAATAGAGCTTCCGTACATTACATTCCGTATTAATTAATTACATTCCATACAGATTCCGCGAGATTTCGCAAACACGCCCTTAAAGGTGGGAATCGAACCCATCACATACAAAAAACTAGGACTCTGTATTTTGTGACCAATTGACGGAGTCAATCTTAAGAAATAAATCTATATAATGAATATTACCTCTATACTTTGAGATAGGCCATAATATTTTTTTCTAATCATAAAACGTCTAAATTGTAAAGATAAACTTTTTGGCGATTTCTAATATTTCTAGTACTCATAGGTACCTGAAATGATTTCGTCACGCACCTTGGAAAAAATGTAGTAGATTGGATTTATTCTTAGTCGCCGCTTGCTTTTTTTCTTCAATTCTCTTCTATACAATAACATCTAGTTCGTTGTCGAACTTTGCTTGTAATTTATAATTTCGCCACACTTCGCTAACTAAATTTTGTACATTTTGTACTTTGGTACTTGTATGATATTTTTTAAAACTTTCAAACAATCTTTGGTATAACATCGATTTGTCTATTTGAAACTACATCTTATTTAAACGTTAAACTTAGGCTAATGGAATCCTGTATTGCTATGCTTACAATACTAGACGTATTGCTATACGCTTACAATATTAGACTCGCTATAGTATCCAAACAAAACAATAAACTGACAGAGGTTTTTAGACAAGTGAACAGCGCGCCCCTGCCCCCTAATCCCCTTATTGGTTCTAACGCAAGTGTCTAAAATTATGCGTTTATATTTGCGGCAATCCCCGAAAATGCGTTTCGTTTTCAAGCATAGACAATTTGGGTTGCCATTCGTGTAAAAAAGTTAATAACTACGCTTGACGTAATCATCATTTAGACTCCCCTACCCCCCATGTCATCCAAAATAAGCAAACAAAGTAAACAAACAATTTACCGAGTTATTAAATTTTCCAAAACAAAGAATTTTAGAACAGCTTTACATATAAAACTGTAACGTAGAGTTCATTTGTAAAGGTCACAAAGCATATGAATGGGTTGAATGAATTTAAAAGAGACAAGACATACTGTTAGAAGGAGAGGCTTGTAATGCGATGCGCTGCAATAGCGAGGGAGCCCCAAAAACATCCCGAGTTCATTATTTACTGTACTTCTATCAAATCCCGCAGTGGAATGGCTCGCTCAGCACAAAACGCTGCGGGAAATCGGCGTCGACCCGAAGGAGAGACTACTGCTGAAGCGTAGGCTCTTCTACTCCGACCGCAACGTGGACTCGCGTGACCCCGTCCAACTGAACCTTTTGTACGTGCAGACGAGAGACGCCATTCTGGACGGCCGACAGGTCGTGACAGAGGCAAAAGGTAGGTCAAATTAAACGAGAAAGATATAAATATAATTTCTTTTTTCTTCATTCTTTAAAACCACACTTAAATTTTATTCTTAAATTTTGTCCGTATACCGCCAGAGAGTTGGGACATATTTTTTGATGTCATCGAAGGTAAAAAGCTATATCGTAAGGGGCCGTCGATTAATCACGTGATGTTTTTTTACCATTTCTGACCCCCTCCTACCCCTTGGTGATATGTGGTAAGGTTTAAGACTACTCGGAAAATCACGTGTATATTTCAGTACCTACAAAGATTTTTTTTTGAATATTATCTTTAAATACGTATAAAGCATAATCCAGTTTTATTCTGAAATTAAAGACCATGATAAAAATGTTAATTAATCTTTCCGAACCCTTACGACCTGGAAACCTTCAGGAAGAGAGCATACTCTTTCCTAAAAGGCCGGCAACGCATTTGTAAGTCCTCAAGTGTTGTAGGTGTTCATGGGTGGAGGTAATAACTTACCATCAGGTAAGCCTCCTGCTCGTTTGCCCTTTTCGCAATAAAAAAAATGTAACGGCGAGTCAAGGTCACGCCGCTTTTCAGTTTGGAGATCGCTCGTTTGACGTAAAAATAGATACACGTGATATCTTGCTACAGCCCTCCCTCCTTGTGATGTTTCGTGATTTTTGCCAAACCCCTTCCCTTCCTTTCGAACCGCACTTGATTAATGGACGGCCCCTAAGTAAAATTTACCTATTCACTTAATGCTATAAGAATAATTAAATTTTTTTAACAATACGAGAATAGGTAAATTTTTGATTATATAATATGTAATATCCATACACATATTCCACATCTCTATTTCAGCAATTGAATTTGCTGGTATCCAGTGTCAAGTACAATATGGTGACTTCCAAGAGGAGAAACACAAACCTGGATTTATTGAAAAGTAATTAATTTTCACAACTTTTATAGCTTTTCTGCCGATCTCTCTTAGTTTATCGTTGCGTAAGGCGAAAAATTTCCTGGGCATCATAAATTGTTTTCTCAGATCATCTTTAGACGTTAGCACGAATATAAAGAACGGAAATGTTCTTGTTTCGACTTTTTGTCCGACTTCAAAAAGAGAAGGAGAAGGTTGTCAATTCGATTGTATTTTTATGTATGAACAGTTTTTAATATTATTTCTTTAGGTATTTAACATTATATAGATCAAGAAACTCCTAAAAATCAAAAAGAAACTTATAGTGTGTGAGATATTTGAAGTTGTTATTGTTTCTTTTTATCTGACAACATAACTGTGGCACATTTACTGTGGTCTTCGCCGTTGGACAGACGGGCAGGTCCGTCCGGGGAAGTAACACGACCTCACAGAAGACCGGCGTAAAGTGAAAGTATAATACTTTCGCGTTTCGTCTGGTGAGTGATGTGGCCGGAGACCAAATTTTCAAAAGGTTGTCAACGCATCTGGAACCCTCGGGTGTAGCAGATGTCCATGGGCGGCGGTTATCACTTAACATCAGGCGAACCCCCAGCTCACTTGCCATCATCTTACATAATAAAAGCATTTCCCCATTCAATCTGTGAGATTAAACTTTTTGCCTGCAACAATAAGTTTCAATTGCTCCAGTACCTTCGGCCTTAGGGAGTTCCTTTCAATTTCTTCAATTCCTTCTGATGTTCAGCCTCAAGGAGTTCCTGTCGGAGCAGTACGCCAATTCGCGGGGCGTGGAGCGCAAGGTGCTCAAAGAGTTCAGCCGACATCATGGCCTCAGCCCTTTGGAGGCCAAGCATCTGTACACGAAGACGGCACGAGAACTGCCTACGTATGGAGTCACCTTCTTCTTGGTTAAGGTATTCGCTTATTACTTCATCCTCCATAATTTGCTGGTCATTACTTTATGTTCTGCAGCACGTTAGCACCATTCTGTTCAGTGAAATATTACCATTATTGAACCGAGCACACTATTATTAGCAATTCGTAATTATTTTTTTTGTTATAACGATTGCCGCGGGGAGTAGGTACCGAACCTTCCTCTTGCGCCAGAGGGTGTGGGTTCGATTCCCACGACTGAAAATATTGAACATGGTGTTTTTCCAGTGTCAGGTCGTTTATATATGTGTAACATGTACTTACTTACAAAAGAAAAGTGTGTTTATTAGTTTTGTTGTACTCATAGTACAAGCGTTGCTTAGTTTGGGATTAGAGAACGTTGTGTAAAAATGTGTCCGAAAATATTTATTTAATTATTCTGTTATATTGGGAACATCTCATTCCTGTCCTGGTTTATGGTAATACCAGAGGATGGTACAGACAAAAACTGACCGCATTAGTAGGCAGGAATTAGAGGAACATCGTATTTAAAAAAAACTTGATAATTTATGTCGATGCTGTCGATTCGGAATCGTACCCTACGTCCTCAATTCAAACACAAGTTCGTTTTTTTTATTTGCATTTTGAACTGTACTTTTATTTATCTAGTTATGACCCTTAGTTAAAATGTATTGGTATTAAGTACTCTCATGTAATAATTTTATGTGCGCGAAGTTTAAATTAATATAGGAAAAAACGTTTAATTTTGCAGGAACAGCAAAAGGGAAAAAAGAAGTTGGTGCCGCGACTCCTGGGCATCAACGCTGAGTCCATCCTCCGCTTGGACGAAGTCACGAAGGAGATACTCCAAGTGTGGATGCTGACGCAGGTGAAAACCTTCCGAGCTGGAAAGGAAACTTTTACCCTGGACTTTGGAGACTACAGGTGAGGTTCAGAGTATTCTACAACAATTTATTAGGTGTGGGGCTATCAGTAGTGACAGAAGATGCAGCAAAGCCGTTCGTGGGCGTATAAAATTATATATTGGGTCCTGTGTCATGTGATGTTGTCACTGGGTTTTTCCCTATGACGTTTACGAGTCCTACGTTATCCTTTTTATTTGTACAAGATAAATTATTCAAACACCGACTTTTATCTCCCACTCGACTCATGGAATAGTCTGAGTATGCTCAGCCGTTGTCTGTCACAAAAATAGTCTATTTCTTTTGATCTGAGAAATATGCGTATACAACGCTATTTCATCCAAGTAACTTGCTCATTGCTGTCCAGCGACAAGGAATACACGGTGAAGACGAACGAGGCGCATCGAATCCGGGACATACTGCAGGGCTACATCGACATCATCCACCGCTCCGTTGCCACCCCGTTCAACGTGGTTCCGGACGAGGGGCAAGCCATCTGCGAGGAGAACGTGCAGTCTTCGAAGTGAGGAAGTCATTACATTGGGATTCTACTAACCTCGTTGATCCCCTCCGATTTGGTTATACAAAATCGGAGGATTCAATCGAAGAGAAAACTTCTTTTTTTGTCCGGGGAAATTCAACGAACTCGAAGAATACCGGTGTGAGGTCGAAGTCTTATACATTTGCGTTTTGTCTGCGGTGGGTGAAGTAACAGCTGCCCACTTAAAAGCTAGAAGAAAGAAAGCTTTAAAGAAAGAAAGAAACGCATCATCGCTACAGCGTTGCAAATCCCGACGGCCTGCGGTTGTCACCGTGACATCTGGTGAACGGACACCTCGCTTGCCATCTTACAAAAAAAAGCGACAAGTACCTAAATACTATCGATTCACAATGCTCACACATTTTCTTTATTATTATTGACCATTCAAAAAGAAAAACACATTATTTACATTATACAATATACTATAAATAAGCAGGACTTATTGCAGGGGACAGATCATCGAAACTGTTGGCCCCAAGAAGTTGATCAAGCATTCATACATCGGCCCCAGCAACTTGGTGCCATTGGCTCAAGGTGAGTGCTTCGATCCTAACATTACTCTTAATTCTTTAGACTAATAATAACTTACGTCTACAAGCTTTTATGTCTAATTCTGATATCCAATTGCTTGCAGACCTTTCTCTTCCACATCCTTTTCTTTTTTTTTTTGATGTCTTTTCAAAAACATTCAAAAACATCTTAAGCTAGTAATGATATCTTCATGTTCAAGCGGAGATTCAAAGCTTTAAATGATTAAATCTTTTATATACAGCGTGTCGTTACCATCGCGACAATAAATGAACACACGTCTAACGCTACTTGCCAATAATCATAAAAAAATATTAACGTTAAACAAAATTCGAATGTAAATGTGTAATACAATTTTAATAAGTTATCCCCTATATATGTGTTCATTTATTGTCGCGATTGTAAAGACACGCTGTATATGTATATAACTTTCTGTCGTTGCATACTTGAAATATCAACTATCTGCTAAAATATTATTTTCGTATTGATATTTAAATATGTCGTCATTCTGTTTTTTTTTTTTATTTGTAAATAAGATTATCCTATGTTGTAGAGGCATTTTACAAACGCAAATTAAAGGAAGTTAAATTAACCTGGATGAGATTTTAACCCACTACTCGAGGCAAACAAGTCTATAACTTAGCAGCTGCGCAGAGTCATAATAAATCATTGCAACCTCAATTGAGTTTTAACTGTGGTAGGGCCACGCAACAGTTTGCCGTTGCACGAATGGGCAGGTCCGTCCGGGTAAGTACCACGACCTCACAGACCGGCGTGAAGTGTAAGTGTTATACCTCTGCGTTTCTTCTGGTAACTGAGGTAGCCGGGGCCCACTTTATTAAACGGTGGCAACGCATCTGCAACCAACGGGTGTTGTAAGTGTCCATGGGCGGCGGTTATCACTTAACATCAGGTGAACCGCCAGCCACCTTCCCATTGTCTTATTTGGAAAAAAAAATATAGTTCCTTATCAATTGTATTGACCAGTTTGTTACAAGTTGAGTATATCGGCAGGTTGTGAAGCCACGCAAGGCACCCAGATTGTGACAGTGAATCAGATGTTGGTGACCAAACCAGGTGTTGTGCGAAGACGAGGGGTTGTGAGTATAGCAGTATATTTGCTAATGAGTGAGATATAGTGTAGGGATATTGAATAACGAACTTTTAGAAATAATCTCGTACATTTAGAAATTTAAATTTTATAGTACTACTACGTGATACAATATTTTTAAAAGAAGTTAAGAACGACGAAGTTATCCACGAACACACAAAAAAAATATATACGGTCAAATTGAGAAACCTCCTTCTTTTTTAAAATCGGTTAAAAAAATAAAAACCGTTCTCAAATCGTTTTCCAAAAAAACTGTAGCATTGGTTCACGAACGATGCGATAAAATATATGTGGTAGCTCTTAAGGCACAGCTTAGCATATCACATAATGTAAAATAGAAAATAAAAATAAATAAATGTTAAATAAATGTACGAAGTTAAAATACGCGGGTTCGATTCCCACAACGGCGAAAAACTTTTAGTTCCTTTTTTCTAAAAATTTTAATGTTTTACCTTAAGTGCAGATATTATTACAAACATTAAGAATGTCTATTTCTCTTGTAATACTAAAGGCGGGAGGAGCCGGTGAGCGTGGTGTGAACTCAACGGAATACCTTAAAAAGCTTAACCGTGTCAACTCCAACGCTATGGAAACTGTGGAGTTTTTGACCGGTAAGTATACAAAATCCGTATTAATAGTGTCCGGGTGCTTGTCTACTTATCACTTGTCTTGTATCTTGTATTAACTGATGTTTTTGCATTCAGTCCCGAGACTATTAAAGCTTCATCGGACGCAGAACCGGTGGGGTGGGAACCCACGGGTTTGGATCATCCGCTATGGGTAGGGCCGCGCATGTGCTCATGCGTGCGTTTAATTATGGTGTGGCATCTAAGGGCCGTCGAGGTCGCGGACCGAAACCCCGATGGCCGTCGACTGTGCAATTAGCTAATCGGTGGCTGGGAGCGGTGAGAACCGCCCCGGAACGCGGGTGTACCTTGTGTACGCGTTGTGTGGGTCTCGCCGTGCTCGGAGGCGAGGGCGAACTATTGTGTTTATTGTTACACTAGCTGTGGGTGTAGTGTTATGCGGCGGGACCCCCGGCGGTGGGTCCATCGTTTCTAAGTCCTCTTCGTCGACCGGGTCGATGAGGACGTTTCGCGGGCGACGTTTATTGACGTTCGCGTTAGTGTCTGGTTGGTAAATTGCTGACTTATCACTATACTCGTCATGTTTAAACGCCAGGGTTGGCACATATGAAATTATATATGTTCATTTATTTACACGTACCCACAGATAAGGAAAAAACCGCGAGGAAACCGGAATATGTAAAAATAGATTATTATATTTCTTATCTTTCCGCGAAGGGAACGTGATGTTACTATAATTTATATTCATTTTTAAATGGAAAAATTTTACTATAAAAAATATTTATATATAAGTGTCCCCACTTAATTAATTTTTTTACATACACAGACATGATTTTTTTGCCCTTTCGTCAGTTTTAAAATTATAAGCTGCCGAAGACGTGGGTTCGATTCCCACAGCGGCGACAATCTTTTCGTACTTTTTCTACATGTTTTAATGTTCGATCTTAAGTGCAGAGATTAGCACTATAAAAAACTTTAAAATTTATAATATAAGTTGTAGCGTTACAGGTTATTCTTCAATACAGGTACATTTCTTTAAAACATGCAAATTTTATTTTTAGATCCAAACAATCAACGAGCGCAAAAAGTGTCCAAGGTCACCGCCCTTGCCACTATTATCGAAGAGGAAATGAACAGCATAATTGAAGGTGAGTGGATGTTGCTATCACCACTTTTCCCGAAACCATAACTCTGTACACACCATATCCTATGATTTTACGAGTTTGTTTATTTACGTATCAACTTTTTTCTATTTCTATTTATATTAAAAACATTGCCCTGACATTATCCTGCGTTGTAAGGACGTTTTACACACAGAAATTTCACATGGACAAACACCCAGATGCGAAACAACACAGATAGTGTGTCACACAAATAGATAGTTGTTCCCTGTGGGGATCGAACCCACGACCCCCGACGCTAGGCCTATATCTTGTCAACTGCGCCACGGAGCGCTTTAACAATAATAAGCGTCATAAATCTAAAAGTGCTGTTGTTAAATTTAATAATTTGTATCTTATCAGTGTATCTTACATGTGTATCTTTCAAGTTTAAGTATCAAATGAAATTTGAGTCAACGGTGCAAAATTATGAACGAAATCAAACGAAACATCATAATTTGTACAAAAGAGGACGAAAAGCTTCTCGCCGCTGTAAGAATTTCTTGTAATGCGGAAAAAAACATTGTAGCTAAAAGACGTTGAGATTATCGTTGGTTTGCCAATCAGCCATTTAGCTTAGTGGTTAAAGCGTCTAGGCGTGAGTTCAGAGGACGTTCGTATCCTGCAGTGGCGAGAAAGTTTTCGTCTTGTTTTTTCTACAAATTTATTTGTTTCATCTCAAGAGATTAGCACTGTAAGAATTTAAGTTTCAAAATCAAATAAATATAAAAATTTTAGCGGGAAATTAATTATGCTTTTCTTAAATTCTATTTTAAATAAGCGGGTCCATCGTTTTATTTCTTTCTTTTAACTTTCCAGGCATCCACAGGAGCGTCGAAAAAGACAACGAAGAAGTCAGGAAGAAACTTCTCTCTGAATTGGACGAGCTTTGTGCAAACTTCAACGTTTTGCTGAACACTTCGAAGAGAGACGATTTCGTAAGTTAAGTTTAATGCTTATGCATGTTTAATTTTACGACGTGACGGTAAATTGGCACTTTTCATTTGATCCAGCTGGTGTTACCGCAAATAATATTATTAGCATTCAATATCGCAATTGTAAAGTAAAGTAACAGCCTAAAAAAGGGCAAAGGCCTCAGTCTGTAAAGATGGTATTAGGGCATAGACTCACTAGACCCCACTGCGGATTGACGGACTTGTTTTTATTTGGAAAATATGCAGGTTTCCTCACGATGTTTTCGTATACCGCTGAACATATCACGTGCTTAATTATTTTAAGTGCTAGTCAGCACTTAAAATTAATAATTTCATTGGGGCCGGCACCGGGAATAGTGCTCAGGTTGATAAATTTTTAATTGTTAGTATTTAAAGTATATCACGTACCTCAAACCCATTTTAGTTGACAATCAAATAGCCAATTTAAATTGGCAGTATCTCTATAGTGGCTAGTATCAGACTATGGTAGCAACCATAGAGATCACAGATAGCTGAGATTTTAATAAATAGAGCGATTATCTTTAAGCGAATATTGGTAGTTTGTACGTCTGTGCGGTTCCCACCTTAAATTAATTGAATTTCAGCGCTCTCCAATGGCCGCGATGAAGGTTCGTTAAATGAATTGTGAATTGTTAAACTTTTAGAGTTCCGTATCCAAAGCTGAATCTGTCTGTCTGTCACTAGGCTGTATCTCATGAACCTTGATAGTTAGACAGTTAAAACTTTCACTGATGATATATTTCTGTTGCCGCTATAACAACAAATACTAAAATGCAGAATAAAAAGATATTTAAGTGGGGCTCACAGATATGATTAACATCATTTATATTAGTTTATATGTGTTTTTATCTTCTGTCCGAAACCACTACCTTCCTGACAATCAGAATACATAACGAAATATCTTTTAGTTTTCATAAGAAGAGTCCATAAATAACGTGTTCTTTGCAGGGTTCACCGGAAAGCCTGACCACATCTCAGGAGACGGCCGAGAAAATCGTGGTACTTTGCACAGGGATGTTCTGCGCGCTAGACCCTGGCATCAAGAGGCGCAGCAGAATCCTAAAGGTACCACAAAGGAGCTGTTTAGACCTCATCGACTAGTGCTTTGGACCCAACAGCTGGCCAGATAATTTTAGTTCAGAAAATTCTTGATCGCATCCCTCGCTGTTTCATACAATATATGCAGTAATTCATAAATTTTTATTAATACCTCAGTTTATTTTTTCGGAAAAACTAGAGCCGCATGCCCGTTACCACTGAACTTCGTTTATTTAGATTGAACAGCGAAATATCACATGATAATTACGCACTAAACAACCCAGCCCATTTTTAAACGTCGGGAAGGGATGCGATTCCTTTTAAGGTATCCGTAAGATAAAAGGGTAAGTACGAGTATAATTTGAGAGAACTGTCTTTAGATAGACTAGTTCATACCAGTTTATTCTAGAGTGTGCGTATTTATATCAGTCTCAACTAGTTTGGCCTAGCCTAAACTAGTCTATTATATCGGGCTTTGGAAAATTTAGTTTGGACTAGCCTAAACTGTATATCCTATCGGGCTTGGGCTAAATTAGTTTGGACTAGGCTAAACTAGTTACTCCTATCGCGTATAGGAAGAACTAGTTTAGCCTAGGCAAAACTAGTTTGTCCTGAAATCGGGTTTGGCCGGTAACATATACATTAAGTATTCGATATCTATTTCACCCATTGCCATACGCTTGAATAGTTCGGAAGTCTGAACTAATAGATGGCAATGTTTAATAGTTTTACGATTATGGCCTTTTCACTCGGTCATGGTATACAAAAATGTTTATCTTATTTATTAGATGAAATTTTAAATTTTTTCCTTTTACCTATGTTTATAGGTTTTTCAGTTATTTTAGCAATTTTTAATTTCAAAATAACAACAAAAAAAAAAGATTGTGTCAGTCATCTCTAGATGCCGTGAAGTCTTTCACTTTCAATTCTTTTTTTTTAAAGTAAGAAGAATTATGACATGAACGAGTGAAATGAAAAAATTTGTTAGATTTTTTCTTTTCCTATATTATCCATTATATATTATTTTTTATTCTCCATAACTACTGTGTTACTCTATTTTACCCATTAACTTACTCGCTGGTCGCAATGTTGTGTTCCGTTTTTCTGTATTTTATTTTTAACATCTGTTGCTACAACACCAACAGTTGTCTCAATTATCATTTATTATTTTATTTCTGTTCCTTTTTAGTAATTTGGAAATGAAAACTTTTTAGAATCACCTGAAAAACCTATTAATTGTTATTAATTAGCATTTAAATTGATAGAGATCGCATCAGAGCTTTATTGCGGACGAGAAAACGGAAGCTACTTTACGGCGAGCGTCCTTCCTAGCGGCTGCATCGCACGCGTGCAAAGCTGTCGACAAGGCCAAGGAGGGGTTGGATACGGTGAGGCAATAATCTAATCTATATAAATAAGTAAAGCCTTATCATCATCATCGTTTCAGCCTGTTTGAGTCCACTGCTGAATGTAGAGCTACCCCATAGACTGTCACGAATCACCGTCCTGAGCCACCTGCTTCCATCGACTTCCCGTACACTTGCACAGGTCGCCACTCCGTCCAGATCGGCGTACGAAGCTCCCACTCGAAAACCTTTCTTCCCCATAAAATAAAGTCTTAAATAAAACTAAAATGATGGACACCGTTTTAAAAGATGGAACACATCGATTCAGAATTGAGCTTGGTGGCTTTTTCCGGGATATTTTCATAAACAAGTAAGGGATTCAGGTGAATAGACCTTAATCAAACTACATAAGTATGGGTGCTCTCTTCATTGATGTCAGGCACTAGATAAGGTCTGCCAAACGGCTTGCTCAACAAGCTGTTTGCAATCAAGCTCGTACACACCATTTCACCTTAACATTGCCAAAAATGTACCTAATTAATTAAGTACATGAGTCGAGATTTTCACGATGTGAAGATATTGGCCGTTTAACTGTTTTCAACGTCAAGCAACGTCACCTGGAGGACGCTAGAACAAATATTGAAACGCGGAAATGTTCAAACCATTACACGTTTTAAGTTTCACCTAAAGTACAGAGTAAAAATAATATTAAAAATTAATATGTTTTTATTCGAATTCAGCGTTAAATTATTAACGTTTTAATGCAGTTATTTATTCTTAGGCGTTGGTTGAAGCGAAAAGAAATTGTTAAAGCAATTTGCGAAAGGGACGACATTATATATTGGACGTTAAATATTTGATTAATTTACAGATGTTCGAAGGCTCTGTTCCAGAGGTTCACGAGATTCAAAATTTAGAAAGGGAAGCCAGGAAGAAAGTGGGAAAACTAAATGCAGCTGTAGCAATTCTTCTATCCGCACAAGCTGGTATATATTCTACATAAAATACTTACCCCCGGTTTCTGAAACTGATCATCGCAGAAGCCAACTGAAAACATCAGCTGTCAAATGGCTTTTCAAATGTTATTTGAGTTACCAAAAGGATTGTTTAAGTATCTGAATTGATCACAATGATTTTCTTAACGATCGGAATTATCAATTCAAAGGGTTTTAACACCCGACGTTTCGAACCCTTTACAACGTTCATGGTCACGGGACAGACTGAGGACGTCTGAGTGTCATTGTTAATCCGGGCTACCGCCAGTTTTTATATTATTAATTTTTGTTTCCATCTACGCAGAATATACTTATTCTATCTTGTCTTGCAGTAGTGGTTTGTATGGGCCTAGATTTAAACGCGATAAATACGTAAACATAGTTTCATTTAGTAATGTGTAATCATGTAAATACTAGAAATTATTCAAGTTTCAATGTTCAAATGTTTGTCTTTCCGTCTTTAAACAGATCCCGACAATTTGGACTACACAGCAGCTATTACGTCGATGACCACGATCGACGAGCTGTTGCCAGAGTTGATTCAAGGTTCGTACGAAGGTTATTAATATAAAAGTGTATCATGTATGGTTCGTACCCTCGATGTGGTTACTTAGTTTACGACTTACCAGGCTGATGATTGATTGATTGATTGAGCATTCTTTTTTGCACACACCATGGTAAAAAAAATAGAATTGGATTGTACAATGGGAGGCCTTTTTACTTAAAACAATTTCTTCCAAAGGTTGCTCTTGGATGGACATAATATGTGGTGTGGTTAAAATTCTACTAATATGTTGGTGATGAAGTAGATATTATTTTTAGAGTACTTATTAGAGTACAACTATTTGTGCTTGAGTGCGTTGTAGTTTTGTGTGTTTATTTTATTTACAACCAGTCAATAATATCAGTATTTAATTAACCTACGACAATATCATTAAAATGAAGCTTCATTATAAAACAGTGTCTTTTGAAAAGAAATTAAAATAAAATGTTGATAATACAGCTATTACGCATGAATGGATAGACGATAGCCTAAAAATTTTATAAAAAAACAAAATTAGGACCAAAATTAGAGCCTTATCCTCCCACGAAGGTCTGCAACGATTTCTCTAATCCTCAGGACGTGAAAATCGCCGTTTGCTGGTTTTATAATTTTAGCTCTCAGTCCCAGTGGCTATTTTTGTTATATCGATCACAAGGGATGCGTAAAACTTAATATATCCCGTATATACGTTTTTATATTGCTAAGAGCGGGTCAGGTCTTTAAAATCTACGTTGTGGTTAAACAGACGCCAAAGCTCTGGGCAGCGGTAAGGACGAGAGGTCCCGCCTCTCTCTCTTGAGCCGCATACGGTCGTTGTGTGATGCTGCACACAGCATCTGTGCTCTCACGGGCGAGGAGGACAAAGAGGTTTGGACTAAGTTCATACATAACTAAAGTTACCACTAAAAGGTTGTCACCTCACTGTTGCGTCCCAATATATTTATTGTAATATTTTGTACGTTAGACATAATCTTAATTGTTATCTAAAGAATAGTGACAGACATAAATTAAATACTAGAAATAAGGACAAATTAATTACATATTCGTCTAAAAAAAGTAAATAGATCGTTCATGGGGCAAAGTGTGCGCATGTATAATAAAATCCCACAATCGGTATTAAGTCTGCCACTAGATGAATTTAAACGCAAAATTAAACGCGAACTTATGGCTAGGGCATATTATACAATTGCAGAATATCTTGACGACGCCAATGTGTGGGGTTAATGCTGTTGATACTCACGTAGGCTAAAATGACATACTTGTTCTATTATATTGTAAACTAATCGTTTTAAAAAAGAGCAACTGTTGAGTTTCTTGCTGGTCTTCTCAACAGAAACTGCTTTCCGAACCGGTGGTAACTTACGAACGTATTAATTTTTATGTAAAATTTTTGACATTTCATAAGAACGCGCAGGCGTCTATGTGAATAAATATATTTTTGATTTTGATTTTGATTTTGAGCTAATGGACTGACTGTTTAGGTGTGATTTGCATGTGCACCTTGGTCATAGGGGTCCGTAAAGGAGAAATATGATCCTGACGTTGTCTGGTAAGGAGGTAACTGAGGCTTACTGCAGTACAGAGTAACTGAGGTTCATGTTGTAACATGAGTCAACCGAAAGTTCACTGTGTTATCAATGGTGTAATAATTTTAATTAAAAAAGTTGTAAATTAAATTTTGTAGGTGGCAAACTGTGGTAGGGCCACGCGACCGCTTCGGCTGTTTCACGAATGGATAGGTCCGTCCGGGTATGTACCAAGGCCTCTCAGAAGATCGGCGTGGTAGCCGAGGTGTACTTTATTTAAAGGTGGCAACACATCTCCAACCCTACGGTTGTTGCAAATGTCCGTGGGCGGCGGTTATCACTTAACATCAGGTGAACCGCCAGCTCACTTGGCACCATTCTCACATAAAAAAAAACAATTTGTGATTTTATGTAAATTAACGAACAAAAAGTTTCAGCGCTGCGAGATTCGAACCTGTATCTTAATTGCTCAGTGCCAGGCGTACGATCGAATAAATTATAACGTTTATTACTTCTTTAGTTATCACAAGCAGTAAGCTTATTTGTGGTAGGGCCACGCAGCAGCCTCGGCTGTTGCACGAATGGGCAGGCTCGTCCGGGTAAGTACCACGACCTCGCAGAAGACCGGCGTGAAGTGGAAGTATAATACTTTCGCGTTTCGTCTGGTGAGTGAGGTGGCCGGAGTCCAATTTCCAAAAAGGTTGTCGACGCATGTGCAAACCCTCGGGTGTAGCAGATGTCCACGGGCGGCGGTATTCACTTGACATCAGGTGAACCGTCTGCTCGCTTGGCAACTTTTAACATAAAAAGGCTAACATACCGTTTCACTTACAGCGATTGCAAGAGCTCGCTTATAGGTACGCCAAGTCCGCCGATAAACTCATCTTCACTTTCGGCCGCGGCACGGTAGCAGACAAGGAAAACGAGGTAGTTGTTCTTATTGCTTTGCTTATACTTTCCGCACCGGTGGTAACTTTCGAACGTAACGTTTCTTTGTAAAATTTCGACGTTTCATAAGAACGCGGAAGCGTCTGTGTGAATGAAGATATTTTAAATGTTGAATATTGGATACATGCGAAAAACGATGAATATAAGAATATTCATCGTTTTTCGCAGCTTAATTGGTGCAATCTTAAAAGTAAACGATCCACACCAATGGCGATCGATTTCGCGGCTGCAGATCGCAACTTACTGTTGTAGTGTTGTGCAGAAACTGTGGCATGTTTGAGCAAGCTCGTCGTTATGTGGAAGTACTTTTGCGATTGCTATGGTGAATGAAGTAACCGGGGCCCGTTTCTAACAACTGGGGTATGATGAAATTCAATAATCTGTAGATAAAAATGTCGACAAATTTTTCGCCGCCGAAAAATTTTGCTACCGACTCATCTTTTCCGTGTTATGAGCTATAGAAATGTACGCTGAAGGTTAAAATTTCGCATAACGCACTACTAACTAGTCTATGGGTGGTGGAAATATAGTGTGGTAAGCGGGCGTGGCAAATAACAACTACGTAAATAAGTCCACACTATGTATTTAAAGTTCAAACAGAGCACAAGCGAAGTACAGACGTGAGCACAAGAGAAATAGAAAGTTAGAATAGAGGCAAGAAACAAAGGAAAGGCGATAAAAACATAAAAACAATAAGCTGTGTATAAGCACTCGCGTAACTATATCGTAAGGAAGCTGAGACATGCATTCGCCGTCGCGGACGTGATGGCACTGTTGGCCGCCGGCCGGCGCCGGCGCTTGCCTTCTCGCTGCTTCGAGTATGTCCTCTCTTTCCTACGCCGCGCCCTTTGTTGACCGCGCGCGCGGCGTAGGAAATTTCCATATATGGTCTCCTCACACTCCCCCACCGAGACCGTTGCTTGCTACGGTCGATAGTAATCAGGGAATCGTACTGATCGACCACTGCTTGTTTTTTTAGTAGTAGCAGGTTCTGGGCTCTCCGGTGTGGGTTCGTTGGGTGGAGGATGCTGGCTGGGACTTCTGCAATCGGCATCTTTTGTAATATACGCTGGTTTGAGCCTGTCTATTGAGATGGTATTCTCTTTACCTCTGATGTCGATCTTAAAGGTTTTGTTGCCTCTTTGTATGACTTTGTAAGGGCCTGTGTATGGAGAATCTAATGCTCGCTTTGCTGGTCCTTGTCGAAGAAACACGTAGTCAGCGTAGTTGAGGTCTTTGGGGATGTAGAAAGGCTTTTGAGCGTGTCGAGTACCTGGTACAGGAGTCAACTTCGATATGTGGTCCCGTAGTCTGGCTGCGAAGTCTGCGTAGTCGACGGTAGTGTCCTTCGTAGGCTCAAAGAACTCACCAGGCAGGCGTAGTGGCTCCCCATAAACCAGTTCTGCCGCTGAACATTGCACGTCGTCCTTCCAGGCGCTGCGGATGCCCAGCAGCACTAAGGGTAGGACTTCAGTCCAGTGAGTGTTGGTATGGCACATAATTGCTGCCTTCAATTGCCGGTGAAGCCGCTCGACCATCCCATTACATGCTGGGTGGTACGACGTAGTCGGACGGTGCTCGGAGCCGATGATTGCTGACACGGCGCGGAACAGCTCGGACGTGAACTGTGCGCCCCTGTCAGTGGTGATCTTGTTCGGGCAGCCAAAGCGGGCTACCCAACCCCCAACAAATGCTCGTGCGCAGGACTCTGCAGTGATGTCCGGCAGTGGATATGCCTCAGGCCAACGTGTGAAACGATCGATGACCGTGAGGCAGTGCCTGTAACCAAAAGAATATGGTAATGGCCCTACTATGTCCATATGGACATGGGAAAATCTTGAGGAAGGAGTGGGAAATGGAGATATGGGTGATGTGGTATGGCGTGAAATTTTGTTTCTTTGGCAATCTGCGCATTCTTTTGCCCACTGACGGCAATCTCTTTTGATTCCTGGCCAAACGAATCTTTGCGTCACCATTTTAGTTGTCGCCTTGGCACCGGGATGGCTCAGTCCGTGGATTGCGTTGAAAACTAGTTTTCGAAAAGCATCAGTCACATATGGCCTTGCGTTTGCTGTTGATATGTCGCAATATATAAAAGAGTTGACATCAGGTAGTTGGATCCTCTTTAAATTGAGTCCAGATCCGTGCTGCATCAGGTCATTCATTTCAAGATCCATTTTCTGAGATTGTGCCAAAGCTTCGTAATCTATGGGCTTGCGAATCTCCTCCACTCTGGATAGCGCGTCCGCTACGACATTGTCTTTTCCCGCTATGTACTGTATGTCGGTGCTAAATTGTGATATAAAATCCAAGTAACGAAACTGTCTCGGGGAACATTTTTCTCTTGCGGAGTGGAATGCGTACGTTAGAGGTTTGTGGTCTGTATATATGATAAATGCCCTGGCTTCGACCATGTGGCGGAAATGCCGTATAGCCTCGTATATGGCTAATAGCTCTCTGTCATAAGGGCTGTATTTCTTTTGCGCTGGCTTAAGCCGCCGGGAGAAGAATGCCAGGGGTTCCCAGGATCCACGATTTACACGCTGCTGTAGTACTGCACCAATTGAAACGTCTGATGCGTCGGTGTGGATGGCAAGTTCAGCATCAGGATTCGGATGTGCTAGATTGGCTGCGTGGGACAAACCTTCCTTGCATGCTTCAAATGCTTCCGACATCTCCTTCGTCATGTCAATCTCCTGTGAGGCCTTCTTCTTAGGTCCGCTAAGTACTAGGTTCAGCGGTGATTGTAGAGCTGATGCACCTGGTACGAATCTGCGGTAAAAGTTGAACATCCCCAGAAACCTTCGGAGCTCCTTCACTGTCTTGGGGATGGGATATTCCAAAATGGCCTGCACCTTTGACGGTAATGGTCGAATGCCTTCAGATGATACTTCATGCCCAAGGAAAGTGATGGTCGATACTCCGAATTCACATTTAGCGGCGTTGATTAGTATTCCGTAGTCTGTTAATCGTTGGAATAACTCACAGACATGTTGCTGGTGTTCTTCTTCAGTTGCGGAAAAGATCAGGATGTCGTCCAGGTAGCCGTAACAGTTGTCCATGCCTCTGAGTGCTTCGTCTATAAAGCGCTGGAACGTCTGTGCCGCGTTCCGGAGTCCATACATCATGTATGGGAACTGAAACAGTCCGAACGGTGTTATAATAGCTGTCTTGGGTATATCAGCTGAGTGGACCGGAATCTGGTTATATGCTTTGACCAGATCCACTTTGGAGAAAACTTTACTCCCAGATAATTGTTGAGCAAAGTCCTGTATATGCCGAATAGGGTATTTATCTGGGATAGTACGGGCGTTTAAAGCGCGGTAATCACCGCATGGTCGCCAGCCGTCATCCTTTTTAGGAACTAAATGAAGCGGAGACGACCATGAGCTCTCGGACCTGGATGCTGTGCCGTTCCGCAGCATAGCCTCAAACTCCTTCTGTGCGATCTTGAGACGATCTGGTGGCAGGCGTCGAGGTCTACTAGATACGGGCGGTCCAGGCGTGGTGCGGATATGGTGCATAGTATTATGCTTGACTTCCGTAGGTGTGCCTGAAGGGCGAGTGATATGTGGGTAGTTGCGTAATATTTCTAAATACCTGGAGTCCCCAATTGTCACCTTCACCGAAGATATAGCCTCTATACCAGGTTGGGCTGGCACATTAACGGTGAGCGAGGTGTGGTTGTCAATCAGGCGCTGGTTTCTGCAATCAACTAGTATATTATAGTGTGATAGAAAGTCAACGCCTATGATCGCTCTTGCCACGTCAGCAACCACGAAGTTCCAGGTGAACGCTCGGCGTAAACCCAGATTAAGCTCCAAGCGAACCGAGCCGTAAGTGTTTATAATTGTCCCATTTGCTGCAAACAATTCATAATTAGTCTTCGTACGGTGCCCTCTAAGCGCTGTGCGCGGATACACGCACAAATCTGATCCTGTGTCAACTAGGAAAAGTACCTTAGAAGTGTTGTCCACTACGAAGAGGCGGCCCGGTTTTGATTGGCAGTCGTAGGCCGCTAGTTCCGGCTGCCGTTGAAGTTTTCCGCCTTAGGGTGGCTGCAAGGCCTGGTGCAGCGGCTTGCTTTGTCACCAAATCTGTTGTGATACCAGCATATTGTTGTATCCCTCGGCTTGGATGACGATCGATCTCGACGACGGAAGGGTGTTCTGCTTCTTCTACGACTACCACCGTCTCTGCTGTGTGATCTTGATGGCTGCGCGTGGTACTGGACTTTTAGTGAAGCTATTTCTCGTGTTAATTCTGCCATTTGCTTTGCCATCTCCGTAATGTAGCTTCTACAACCTAACGCACAAACCTGAGGTGCCTGTGGTACTATGTCATGTACCTTGTCCGCTAGGTCGGCCAACTCATTCAACGTGGCACTAGGTTGCGACGCGATAACGGTCTGTAAACTGGTAGGTAACCGGCTGGTCCACACTGTTTTCAGAAATTCTTCCGTCACAGTTTTACCGGCTAGTGCCTCAAATGTCGCAAAAATTGTGATGGTTTCCTCTCACCTAGTTCCTCGTGTTTCAGCAGTTGCAACAGCTTTTTTTCTTGCGAAGCTGACAATCTCACTATAAGCTCGTTTTTCAGTTCTAAATATTTATTTTCCGCTGGAGGATTATTAATAATTTCTTTTACTATCACAGCATATTGATGTTCCAATTGCCCAATTACATAATTAAACTTTGTTGAGTCACTCGTGATTCCAGACAAGGAAAATTGTGCCTCCATTTGCGAGAACCATAAGGCGGGTTCCTCTGGCCAAAATGGCGGCGCGCGTACAGAAACTTTAAACACTGAACCGTTATCGATGTTGTCGGTTTCGATGCCTGTAGGTCTGCCGCTTATTACTTTACCGGATCTATTTGCTTCCATTGTGTTTTGCGTTGTTCACTCGTAAATAACAGTCGATATTGTCCAACGTCGGGGTCACCAGTATAGTGTGGTAAGCGGGCGTGGCAAATAACAACTACGTAAATAAGTCCACACTATGTATTTAAAGTTCAAACAGAGCACAAGCGAAGTACAGACGTGAGCACAAGAGAAATAGAAAGTTAGAATAGAGGCAAGAAACAAAGGAAAGGCGATAAAAACATAAAAACAATAAGCTGTGTATAAGCACTCGCGTAACTATATCGTAAGGAAGCTGAGACATGCATTCGCCGTCGCGGACGTGATGGCACTGTTGGCCGCCGGCCGGCGCCGGCGCTTGCCTTCTCGCTGCTTCGAGTATGTCCTCTCTTTCCTACGCCGCGCCCTTTGTTGACCGCGCGCGCGGCGTAGGAAATTTCCATATATGGTCTCCTCAGAAATAAGTCAATCAGGTGGTGATTTTACCGCCTACTCGGTTATCAACATTTCACTTAAGAAAGAGAAAAAATAAAAGAAAAAGAAAAATCACTCCTGCCCACATATGCCGCTGCTGCGGCTAGGCTTTGTTGTCAGCCAACATCCGGCTGACCATTGCCAGCTCGACCCTCGTCCGAGTAATGGGGATATAACTCCGAGACTCGTAGCCAGACTGGCCACAGCCTGCAATTCCATCACAGAGGCGACGAAAAATGTTAATAACATTATATCAAATGTAAACTTAAATAAATTAAATGTCGGTTCAGATTTTAGATTTAGCGAGAGACATTGGCGATAAGACATCGATGCTGCTGATGAAGACACACGAGTTGATCAACCTGGCACAATCTGATCCTCGGGCTGACGAGTTGGATCGGGCTGGTGCGAGGTGTGCAGATGACTCCAGGATACTGCTCGCTTGTGCTCAGGTTTGTGGATATCTAGACTTAATTTGTTAGTGTCATTTTATAGTCGCTTTTTACGACAGGTATAGCCCACCTTAGCCCTATTCTATGAGCCCGTCTTGTTAGCACCACAATAATAGCTAGTAAAACTCTTCGTTTCACGCAGGACCATGCCAATTGTATACGAAATATTATAGCACTTTGCATTTTCGATCGTATTTACCATGAGTGTGTTTCGAAAGATTTCTGGAAGGTGATTCATCAAATAACGTGACGAAATCACATACCATTTATACCAAACTGATGATTTGCAGACCACCGCCGTGCTGTTTGACGTCAACGATCCGTTCCGATAACCCCATCACATAATAATCATTGCACGTCCATCCACATTCGTGGCTAAATTAGCTTCACGTCCATCCACATTCGTGGCTAAATTAGCTTCACGTCCATCCACATTCGTGACTAAATTAGCTTCAGGTCCATCGATTTCGCTATTCCACGGATTTGGTATTAGGTCAATATGTACTATATTGATCTAATACAAATATATTACAATCTTTTTTTTTTAATTTCTTCTGTTTCTATTCGATTTGTTAATTGTAATAATATTGCAGTTGACAGCGTCATCGATAGACGAGTCCCATTGTCAGAGTGCGATGACCGCTGCAGCGGAGTCTTTGACGTCATCGGCCCAACACCTTACAGCGACGTGGAAACCGCTCGTCGAGGAGCCGGGGCGTAGGATGTACGAGCACAGCCTGTCGGACTTGACGACGGACCTGATGAAAGCGTTGGACAGACTGAGAAACGCTTACGCTGACTTGTCAAGTGAAGGCGTTCGTCCTGGTATGTGTGTAGTTTAAAATGAACTTACTATGGACAGACTAGATCATTCAATTTTATCATCATCATCATTTCAGCCTGGTTGAGTCCACTGCTGAACATAGGCCTCGCCCATAGGCTGCCACGAAGTACGATCCTGAGCCGCCTGCATCCATCGACTTCCCGCACATATGCACAGGTCGCCACTCCATCTAGTGGGGGGTCGTAAATTTTATAAAAACTCAAAATTATACAACTGTGAGAAAGATTATATACTCGCGGCCTAATGCTTTAGCCACTAAGCTAAACGGCTGATTGCCACACCGAGGAAAATCTTAACGTATTTTATCTACATTGTTTTTATTAGCATTTGAAGCAATGCTTGGCGCATCCATTGTTATGTCCTTTCCAGCATACAAACAATTTCGAATATCGTTTTACAACGATAATTCGTTTAGCTTGGTGCCTAAAGCGTCAGGCCGCGAATGCCGAAGCCGTGGGTTCGATTCCCACAGCGGCGACAAACTTTTCGTACTTTTTCTACGAAGTGAAATATGTTTTATATATCAGTTAATTTATAAGATTCTTTTTTTCAGCGGAAGATAGAGCTAAGATTGGGGACGATGTGAAACAGAAGGAACGTATGAAGTTTCTAGCAACCATGACAACTGCTTCAAATAACATCGCGGACGCACAAATGGAACTGGATAAGGTACGCCATTTTTATTAGCGTTTTTAGGTGGATTATCCTGACCAGTAATTGTAAGAGCTCGATGAGAACAATGTTAACTTGTAATTTATAAAAATATTTTTATACAAATTACAAGTTCAAATTACAATATTATTATAATATTCATCAGAAAAGAGTTTTATGTATTATGAATTTAAACTGACCTTTAATTTTTCTTTAAAATGTAATATAATATTCGTGAAGAATGAAGCGCACTCGAATCGTATAGTTTGAACCATCATGAGTTTTATCCACTAACGAAATGTCCTACTCGGATCAGAGTCCAAGGAATTCTGACAAATAGAAAATTTTTGAAATTGTGAATTCTTGAAGATAAATTATATAAACAAAAACTTTCGGCGGTGTGGGATTGGTACCTGCGTCTTCCGGTTTAACGCCCAGATGCTTTAAATGCGTTAAGCTAAGCTCCCGATGACCCCACTGCACGAAAATCTCGACATCTAGATAGATGTCGAGTCTACTACTGCACGTCTGTCTACTACTGCCTGCGTTCTTTCTATTGCCTTTTTAGCAATGCTTGGGGCCATCTAGTATGCTTTGCTTGTCTTTACAGCATGCAACATCTTACAAAGATGAACATTTGTAACGAGAGATGTCACATTTGCTCTTAAAATTGCCTAGTTTGACACTGCATAATTCCTGGTATGTTTGTAAGAAGGAGGTGTGTATTGAGATTACTGTTTTCCTTTAAAGTGGAACAAATGGTCATGTTGTGCCAAACCTACCAAGTAAGACAAGGGCAAATGAAAGAGGTCTATGAAGTGCGTAATCCTATTGAGTAAGCCTATGACGTAAAGCTTTCTGACAAGCTTCGAAATATAAACCAAATACTGAGCCGCAGGAAAAACTTATTAATGTTCTTATAATAATTAATTATAAAAAGTGATATGTTATCTTATTTTTTTCGTGCACAGCCTATGAAAGAAGAAATTGATGGGCAAAGAGCTAAGGAGTTGCAGCGTCTGCTGGCACAACGGTTGGCACAACTGAATTCGGCCATTGCCTCCCTCATATGCGCTACCGCCGGTGAGATTTGTATTTATTAATTTCATATTGCTTATGTAGATAAAATATTTGCCAAGTGGCCTATATCTTATCTCTAATATATATCTCCACTAGCTCATCATTTTTTTTATGTGAGAAATTGGCAAGCGAGCTGGCGTTCCACCTGATGTTAAGTTATAAACGCCGCCCATAGACATATGTAACACCCGAAGGGCTGCAAATACGTTGCCGCCTTTAAATAAAGTGGGCCCCGGCTACCTCACTCATCAGACGAAACGCATAAGTGTAACACTTCTACTGTACGCCGGTCTTCTGTGATGTGATGGTCGTCTGAGGAGCGTAGTCTATAGAATCAAAGGCTTGTGAACATAGAGGTTACATAGGGAATATTTAGTACCTTCTTACGAGGCAGTCGTTACTTGCACTTGTAACATTATGTTTGACTTTGTTCCAGACCGTCAGAACCCAGATTATAAGACAGCTGAGCAAGCCATCGCCATTGTGTCTGACCTGATGCCGGCACTGGTTCGTGGTAAGGATTTTTATTTAGTACAGCGAATTTCTGATACTGTGTAATATGTACGATCTTATCTATGAAATTGGCACCTTACATAAAAAAAAAACAAATGATTTTTAATGATCATTTAAATCAGAGGAAAAATGGTTCCAGTAAGAAAATATCAATAAAAATTTAATTTTTTGTTTATAAGCTGCTGTCGGATTTAAGTCGTATATACAGGACAAACCTGTCGATCCGCTAGTTTCTTATAAATTTATAGTTGGATAATTTTCCAATAGATCTAAAGGCCATGAGCACCACAAACGATGAGAAAGCCGGTCGCGCGTTACTAAACGACGCTCGTGCACTATGCGAGGCAACACGCGACCTCTGCGCTGTAAACGAAAGTGGCAACATCCAGGTGAGTCATATTTTACTGATTTTTAATTTTTATTATATACCAGACCTTTAAGTCTGTAACCGTGCTGTGCATTGTATTTTTTAGTCACATATGGCTAGTGTTTGTACACATTTTAGCCGTTAGTGTTTAGATATTACCTTGATATAAGTTAATTTGCTCGTACCTTGATGACTAAGACATGGTAAAGATTCGTAAATAGACATAGAATAGTAGAAATGGATGTAAGCTATCTAGCTGCTTGGGATGTCTATCTTTTAAAAATCGTGTTCCCAGTTGCATCAATTACCGGACGAAACACCAAATTGTTATGCTATCGATTCACGTTGGTCTCTGCTAGAAAGCGGTACTTCCTGCCACTTGTGCAACAGAAGAAGCTGCCACCAGGCTCTGCAATAGTTATTCTTTGGTACACATTACGCGAGTCCACACATCAATCAACGATAAATTAATTCGATCGCAGGATGAAAACGACGCTGCGTCCAAATTCGCAAGATTTTCTTCTAAACTGAGCTACGTGTTTACACCGAGAGTTGACCCAAGGAAAGGAAATATGGTACGTCATAGGATTAAAAGAAAAACATTTTGTACATTTGTAGTGTGCTGTTTGTAGACTGTTTTTTATAGTATCATATAGGTAAGTTCTCGTGCAAATGAAAACTAAAGGGATTGGTGGAGGTAGCCAATGCAATGTGCCCTAGAGCTACCCTGTTTGACGCAAAAGTAAGATATAATTTTCTTTGTGCAAAGAAATCCGAAAACTTAACGCATTATGCGAAGGAGACTTTGGAACTCGAAGACACAAAATCACCATTGACTTCTTCATGGTTTCAAGTCAAAATTTCTTTATTCAACATGGGCTCAATTTAAACTCTTATTGAACGATTGATCACTTGATTTTAAGTAGTTACCGCATTCCATAGATACTTTCAACAAATTTGGAGTAGCATATGTAACCAATTAAAAAAAATATAACACTTCCACATCACGTTAGCCTCCTTTGAGGCTGAGTGCTTCACTGGACGAACTGGATCCTTCGTGAAATATTCTCAATCGTGTTAAAAGGCTGTAAATGATGAAATAATTGAACTAGTCCTCCGACATCACAACTGCACACCGCTATCCATTTTTCAGATAATAGAACTCTCAAAAACTTGCTGCGAGAAGGCCTCCCAGCTACTCACGCATGTCAACCAGCTGGTAGACGAGGAGGGGGCTACGGGCGATGCTGGGGAAGAGGGAGCCGCGCTGTTGGATGAGCGGGGGGCGGCGCTGGTGGACGTAGTACAAGCGCTCCTCACTGCTGCACAGGTACAAGGAATTTATAATATGCGATGGACTTTCTTTTCTTCCTTCTCCTGCAATTATCCCATTTATGTAGGGTCGGCATGGCAAAAGAAATTGGAAAGCTCATTCCGCTTCAAAATGTTTTAAATTTACATAAATAGAACACTTTTGGGAATTGTCGTTGTTATTTTTTATGAATTTTAAGTTGTGTATTCAGCCACCCTACGGTGGTAGGGCAACGCAGCAGCCTCCGCTTTTTGCATGAATGGGCAGGCCCGTCCGGGTAAGTACCACGACCTCACAGAAGACCCGCGTAAAGTGGAAGTATGACAAATACTTTCGCGTTTCGTCTGGTGAGTGAGGTAGCCGGAGCCCAATTTCCAAAAAGGTTGTCAACGCATCTGCAGCCCTCGGGCGTAGCAGATGTCCATGGGCGGCGGTATTCACTTAACATCAGGTGAACCGTGTGCTCGTCTGACAACTTTTCACATAAATAAATAAAAAGTCAGCTTAGCGCATTCCATGATAATCTATCTAATGTGTGAGACTATCATTATTGAGTCGCCAGAAGTTAATGTGGTTAATTTTTTGAAATATATGATTATTGTAAAATTTAAAGAAATAAATCATATTCGTAACTGATTTCAATCTTACCCTCTGTTGAGAAGTGTACTCCTCAGAACGCGCAAGAACGTGCGAGGCTGTGACTTGAATGGGGTTGACCGGAGAGTAGTAATAACCCTATCTTTGCAGATGAGTGACTTGAGGCGAAAGTATGTAATCCTTTTCGTTTCGTTTTGTGAGAAAAATCGAGTTCAACCGTTTCAAATGCCGCGTCAAATCACAAACCTCTCTCGATTGGCACAAAAATTTGTTCCTCGATCTGGTAATGAGTACTTACTGTGATGTACGTTTAAACAATTATTATATACTACTCTATATTACGCTCTACATTTTGCTACTCTATTAATTGTAACCATTTATATTGCGTGTTGTCATAAAATATAAGTCAGTATCACAGAGTACTTTTGTATATAGGGAAAGTATATATAGGGTCAGTATTGTTCGGGCCTTCAATAGTTTCATTTTACCTCTAACACCACACCGTACATACCGTGAGGTTAAGAAAAGCGTGCATACGCTTTTTTTCCACACAAAGATATGGCAAATGTAAATAACTTTAACTCTGGCGTAATTCAATTAAAATAAATTTTAAACGATAGAGATAAATTTCTAATGAATTAATCAAGGAGAAAAAAATATTTAAAACTTGTTTTTTGTACTAAGAAATCCACCATTTTATTTGTTTGACTTCAGAAACTCAATACACAATTCTGCCAACATGATAAATATAGGAAGCGGGCGACATCATACACGTATGGATATTCCGATTTTTTTTTTAATTTAATGAGTCACAGAACCGACACAGAGCGAATCCGACTCGGATAGATTAGGTCAGAAGGTTCAGGCGGGAGCAGAGCTCCCGCCTTAACCTTCGAGGTTAGGTTTTTTTTTATGACCACCAAGAAATACGAACTGAATTGACATATTGACAAAAAAAATGGCGGATTTCTATAGACATTACACTATTTCATTATTAATTTTTTCGAAAACTATAAGCGACCGCCGAATTCTGCTTGTTGTTTTTAAATTATTAATTAAATTCATAAGTGATTTTTCTCTATCATTTAAAATTTATTTGATTTGAATTAGGCCGGAGTTAAAGTTATTTACATTTACCAAAGATATAGTTGATGACCTTTGCTTTTACAGATTACGGCACCAAGTTTTGGTGACCCTAGATGCCAGTCTACGATGTTGACGGCAGCAGACGATGTATCCTCTTCCTGCCAAGAGCTCGCCGCCATCTGGTGCCCTCTAGTCAAGAATCCGACGCGGGCGACCTTGCAACAGAATTTGGACTCGAGCCGAAAGGAGCTGGAAGCATCTCTTAACAATCTACGAGATGCCTGCAAGGACTTGGGTAAGTTTAGAACCTGGAAGATAAAAGTATTCTGTTCAAAAAACGCTGATGTATTTAAAGCATAATGGGGTAGACTGTCACACTCTGTGAAACAACACCATGTTTATGTACTTAGCTATTTGTTTCAAACAAGATTTCAAACTGTCACTATAAAGCAGGTTCGAAATTAGGACAGTGACTTTCAAAAAGTGGACCGGATTGCCGTTCTCATCGGAGGAAACGAACATTTCTATTTTACGGCACACTTCAGTGAGGCTGTGATGCCTCACCAGAAGGCGTTGTTCTCTCGTGTTTCAACAGAATTTACTCCTTAAATAGTTTGTGGATGAATCAGATGTGGAGATTAAGCAGTGGGTGGACAGAGGTGGAGTTAGATGAATCGTTAAAAGCGTCGTTAAAATCGTCTCGTTTGTTTTAGCATGTCTAAAACATCTAAAGAAATATTGTTCTTCAATTAAATGATTATTTAATCGATTGAATCATTATTTTGCAGATGTTTCGGATCGGAACAACACGTATACTGATCAATTTAATGACGAAATTCGTGAAAGAACTTCAACAGAGAACAACACAACTAAAGCCAAGTCGAAAGAAATTATAAGGGATTTGAAATGGGTAATGATGCTCTCTGTTATTGAACCAGGCACCAGAATTATATATATATATTGAATCATACTGGCAAAGTAATCCCACAATAAATCCCACAATCGGTATTAAGTCTGCTACTAGATGAATTTAAACGCAAAATTAAAAGCGAACTTATGGCTAAGGCATATTATACCATTGCAGAATATCTTGACGACGCCAATGTGTGGTGTTAATGCTGTTGATACTCTCTTAGTCTAAAATGACATACTTGTTCTATTATATTGTAAACTAATCGTTTTAAAAAAGAGCAACTGAGTTTCTTGCCGGTTTCTTCTCAACAGAAACTGCTTTCCGAACCGGTGGTAACTTACGAACGTATTAATTTTTATGTAAAATTTTTGACATTTCATAAGAACGCGCAGGCGTCTATGTGAATAAATATATTATTGATTTTGATTTTGATTTGAATCTATTGATAATTATAAAGAGCGGAATGCAAATATTTCGCTGTGGCCATGCAACAGTCTTAGCTGACCAAGTTTAAATTGAAATTCAAATATCTTTATTCAACATAGGAGCATTACTCTCACTTATTGATTGTCAAAATTACTACCTGTACTACCTGTTCCACGAGTCGGCAAGGCCGTCCGGGAAATACCACGACCTCACAGAAGACCGGCGTGAAGTGGAAGTGTTATACTTCTACGTATCATCCGGTGAGTGAGGTGGCCGGGGCCCACTTTATTTCAAGGTGGCAATGAATCTGCAATACGGGTGCTGTAAATGTCCATAGGCGGCGGTTATCGCTTAACATCGGGTGAACCGCCAACTTGCTTCTCATATTATTTAATAAAATATATTTACAAGGTGGCTTTTCTAAGTGTATCCATTTTTTTATTACATTCTAGACATAAAAAATTTTACATATAAAATGATAAAAATTTAAAATCACTCGTAAGTAATTATATACATTCATTTGAACTTATATAAAAAATGCGTGATTCATACGCAACTGATTTATTTTACGCGCGATCATTCATATCTAACACGCACACAAGTTCGTGCACAGTAAAATTTAGGTATTTACGAATGACTACCGCATTGTCACACGTTCTGTTTTTTAGGGCATATAATGGCATTTTTTTTTTTTGGAAAAAACTTTATTTTTTATTTCAATAAACGATTATACTACCGAGTCTGAACCTCCTGTGTAGATTTGGGCACTTCTCAAAAAATCTCCCTGTATATGTTAAATATGTATGTAGGTATGTATGGTATAGGTTACGTTTACTAGTAAAAAAAAATATTGAAGAAACGTTATCTTAAAAATGATGACTTTTTAATGTACAAGGCGATAACTGTTTGCAGGTGGGCAACTCTTGCACAGGCGTTTTCAACATTGCTTCGGAAATATGTGACGGTGCAAAACAATTGGCCAGCTCGCTAGGAGAGGATGGCGAACACATCGGAGACTGCGGAGAGAGGTTACTCGACACTGCTCAAGCGTTGTACGCTACTGTTGCGGTGAGTTTGACCGTCGAGGAAATCGCATTGGTGTACTTTCAGGGCCGGTTTCAATATGCTATCTACAGATGGATTTGCTTACTAGCGATAGGTATTTGACATTAGCTCTATAATATTTACGTCTAAATTCTAACGTTTACGTCAATATTCTATCCCCCTAACCGAATCTGTATTTAGATAGCATATTGAAACCGGCCTTAAGTGACGTTAAATTTTACGTGTGATAACGAGGTAATACGAACATTTAATGCTTAGATGAAATACCTTTAGAAATATTTGAATATTTTGTAATGCACTAGCGACCCGTCCCGGCTTCGCACGGGTGCAATGTGTTATACATATGAACCTTCCTCTTGAATCACTCTATCTGGTAAAAAAAACCTCATCAAGATTCGTAGCGTAGTTTTAAAGATCTAAGCATACATAGGGACAGACAGACAGCGGGACGACTTTGTTTTATACGATATAGTGAAGGACACTCAAAAAACACTCAAAATTATCACGCGTTAACATGTCAGATGTACAATTCTTTTTCTGTTGTTACGAAAAACTTATTTTATTTGTACGCTATGTAAAAATTAATAGAGAAAGATCATACTAAGTTATTTTTATCGTTAAATAAAGAGAGTTGAATACGACTGAAAAAGAACAGTTCTTTTCCAAACATGATATAACACTGCATGTGAGCTATTGCATGCTTATATACTCGTAAACTACTCTTTGCATTGATCAGTATGAAAGTGAAGTCCCGCATTACTGACGCCCGGTTCCTATATTCAACGAACGGCCGTTAGTTACATAACTTCGTAACTTTCATAACGACTCGTTGCCTTCATACAAGCGGCCGTTCGTTGAATATAGAAACCGGGCATTAAACATTTACCTTTTTTATCATCACAGAAAGTCATGCAGTCGTGTGGGGACCCTCCCGACTTATTCAGTATAGTCGCCGCCGCCGAAGCGGTCAGCTCTTCGTCTATGGAGCTGGCAACCGCTTACGGTCCAGTAGATCAGGATGCGGCACATGCGGAGATCGTTGGCAAAATTGTGCACGGCCGTGAACTGCTGGCTTCTTCGCTAAAGGAGATAGAGAACGCCTGCCTGGAAATGATTGGTTCGTGGTCAATGGTGTTTTGATAACGATGACGCATGGCCATACTACGCGGCATTTAAAAACTGTTTTACATTATAATATAACATATACAGCGTGTCGTTACCATCGCGACAATAAATGAACACACGTCTAACGCTACTTGCCAATAATCATAAAAAAAATGTTAAAGTTAAACAAAATCCATAATTAAATTAATTAAGTAAAAAAGAAAATAAATTTGTAACATCCTATACAACTCGCGCCACTGCGTCGTATTACAAGCCTCTCCTTCTAACAGTATGTTTTGGTCTCTTTTAAATTCATTCAACCCATTCATATGCTTTGTGACCTTTACAAATGAACTTTACGTTACGCTTTTATAGGTAAGGTGTTCTAAAATTCTTTGTTGTGGAAAATTTAATAACTCTCTAAATATTGATGTTTAAATAATTTAAATATTTAATACAACTTTAAAAAGTTATGCCCTATATGCGTATTCATTTATTGTCGCGATGGTAACGACACGCTGTATAAGGGAACTTTGATGACTCCGTGACGCCAGCGTCGGGGGACGGGGGTTCGATTCCCACACGGGAAAATTATTTGTGTGGCCCACAGATAGTTGTTTCGCGTGTGGGTGTTTGTCCTCGTACAATTTATGTTTGTAAAATGTCCTTACAACACAGGATAATGTTATCCTAAAGTAAGGGCAATGTTTTTAAAAAAAAGACAAAGACAAGACAAACTACTTAAGCCCCACCTCATTAAATATTAAAACACTAAGCTTATCCACTTTATTGCTGAAGAGTTTTTAATGGAATTGAAAGAAGGGTATAGGAATGACAATAATGAAACATATTCAAACATTTCAGATGTTTCAAAAACACCTCAAGATGCTGACGAAACAACCGCTGCGTGGTTGACACAAATACAATCTATGTCGGAGACCAAACGTGCCTTGGAACAGATGTACGAGGAACTTGACACGGTTCGTTTTATAGATCTAATAAAGAAACGGAGTTTTGTTTATGTCGTGGTAGATAATATGTCAATGAATGAAAAGAAATGAATCGATACATGTAAAATATTGGTAGGTCCGAAACTGGTGAGAAAAAATGTAGACAGGTTTTTGTTTACAGCAGAGTTATTAAAAAGTATATACCAAAGGAAAAGTTAGTAGTACAGACGTACAGTAATAAACGTATATATGTACTAAGAATGTTGAAGAAAAATCCTTACTAATATTATAAAGGCGAAAGTTTGTATGTATGGATTGGATGATTACTCTTTCGTGTACATACTACTGAATGGATCTTAATGAAAATTAAAAATAATATAGCTTATACATCAGAATAAGACAGGCTATAATTTATATACATATTTTATGTAAATCTGTCTTTCTCTCTGAATGCCTTCAGCCTATTTTACGCAGACGTAGTCGCGGTTAGCAGCTATTTAACTATAAATACACGAATACTTGCTATACAGGGAGGCTTTTCTAAGTGTATCAATTTTTTTTATTAAATTCTAGACATAAAAAATGTTATATATAAAATGATAAATATTTAAAATCAATCGTAATTAACAAAATAAATAAATTCATTTGAACTTATCTCAAAAAGTGCGTGATTTATCGGCAACTCATTTATTTTACGCGCGATCATTCATAACTAACAAACACACAAGTTAGTTTCAAAAGTATACGACGCATTTATGAATGACTACCGCATTGTCAACAAGTTCCGTTTTTTAGGGAATGAAAGGGCAAACGAGCTTGCGGTTCACCTGATGTTAAGTAATAACCGCCACCCATGGACATTTGCAACCCATGCAACACCCGTAGGGTTGCAAATGCCTTGCCACCTTTAAATAAAGTGGGCAAGGTAAGTCTGTCCATTCGTGCAACAGTCGAAGCTCCCGCGTGGCCCTACCACAGTTACACGATCTGTTACATATTCACGATTTCTTCATAGATATCTCAAGTGGCATAAATAATATATGTGTAACCGGAACCATTGTTCAGCCCATGACCGGAAGGACACCAGAAGTGAAGATATCGGAGTTGGAGAGAGACGCCGTCCGAAGATTGGGCTGTCTCGATTCCGCTGTAGCGACAGTTGTTCGGGCTTATTCAGGTAATGCGATGACTGTACTCGTGTCAATACCTCCTCCCATCCGCGCAAATGTTCTCAGTAAATACGTCATTTTTAGGCGTAGCTTAAAAGGTAATAAAGGAACGCTTATAATATTAATTTCTTTTACGTCTGTCCGTGTGTCACCACCGATTTTCTCAGGAACGGGTGGGCTTAGCAAGATATTTATATCAGATACTGAGGTCTCTACTCACTATAAGCGGTCGATGGTAAATTCCTTACCATTATTTATTAAAAATGGCAAAAAAAATCATGTCTGTTGTAAGGGAGCCCCACTTTAATATTTTTTTTATTCTGTTTTTTAGTATTTGTTTTTAGAACTTTTGTTTAATTCTCACAGAATTATATCATCTGTGAAAAATTTAACTGTCTTACTATCACGGTTCATGAGATACAGCCTGGTGACAGACAGACAGCGAAGTCTTAGTAATAGGGTCTCGTTTTACCCTTTGGATACGGAACCCTAAAAGCAGATTCAAACTACAAGCAACAAATTTTTCAGTATTCTCTATTTTAATTTTATAAAATGTATAATTTTGGTTTTTTTATTATTTTTTCTCGGAGTTATTAAAGAAAACCTTATCAAACCAAAAAAAAAAGTCCTTGCTTGATGTACTGAAGCCTGTATACGCCTGAAAAATGCATAAAGTCTTTGCTACTGATTCCCGAATATTTATTTGCATTTTTATATTTCATGGCATTCGCAGCGAAGAGACCAGACTACGACGGTGCCGAAAAAGCAACTAAGTCCATTTTGGAAGTTATGCCTCTGATTATCACTGGTAAGCTTTTCTTAACTTTTATTCTTTTTGTTGTATCTTTGTGTTTTTATATTTATTTTTGTTTTTTTACGAGAAATTGTTTGAGAACTGTTTTTTATACGAGAAAAACGACAACTCGGGACGTAGTGGGCTCTGGCTACTTCACATACCAGCCGAAACGCAAAAGTTTTATTGTGGTAGCGCCACGCACTCCACGAACGCCTCGGCTGTTGCACGAATGGGCAGGCTCGTCCGGGTAAGTACCACGACCTCACAGAAGACCGGCGTCAATTGGAAATATACTTTCGCGTTTCGTCTGGTGAGTGAGGTGGCCGGAGGCCAATTTTCAAAAGGTTGTCAACGCATCTGCAACCATCCATCGTCCATGGCTGGCGGTATTCACTTAAGATCAGGTGAACCGTCTGCTCGTTTGACAACTTTTGCGCATAAAAAAAAATGCGTATTTACGCAAATTCTGTACAACGATAAACATTTTTAATTGCGTTTAACATTGTTCGTGATTCTCGGCGAATTGTTCCAGTCTGTGTTGTGCAGTTCTATTCATAAATAAAGGTTTAGTTTAAGACACCGTTACAAATATTTGATGTTGACCACAGACGTCAAGCTGTTGAGTGCAAACCAAGACGAAGAGCATCGTCGAAACGCGATGGGAGAACTTAAAACGCTGCATTCCGCGACCCTCGCCCTTGTTGACGCTGTAGAAAATGAAAATGATAAGGTGATTGTTTTTATTTTTATTTTATAAGAAAATAACGTTCCTTTGGAACGTTTAAACGATGGAATTTAACAATGTGGAAGACGCCGTTACAAGCATTTCCCACACGGATGTACGATCAGCCATAACAAATGCATACAAAAAACAAAATATAGAAAAAATACAAATAAAAATGAGGGTAATAGAAGCGCCTGTCTATCAAAGGCGTGGAAAAGATGTCTCATGCTTAAAATACTAGATAATTTTAGATCGTTTAACTTTACACCATAGATAGGCGCTTTCCATTTTATGCCTACTTCCTTTATTTCGATTCGTATCCTGTTTGTATGATGATCGATTTTATTATTTAGGATCTGAAAGAGGCACAATCAGCGTATGCTGTGGCTTCACAAAAACTTAATGCTACAATCGCTCCTACTGCTGACATCAGGAAAACGAAGCAAGTAAGTAAATCTTTTATATATGTATATATTTAATGAGGGTTAAAATATACATAAAATAGAAAAATAGCTAGAGCTAAGCGCATCTCTACTGTCACAAATGCGAAAGGCAAGTAATGATTAACATAGTTGACGGCTGTGGATGTCGCAATTAATTCAGGGTCGAGCATTGTTATAGCCGTGATAGCTCAGTGTCCGGGCGCTCGCCTTTATTATACTCGAGCAACCTGAGTCCGATCCCCGGTTCCGACACCAATTAATGTGCTGACTTATCACGTGCTCCGCGGTGAAGGATAATATCGTGAGGAAACCTGCATATTTTCGAAATAATAGCAAAAAAATACACTTCGAAGATATGTGAAGTCCGCCAATCCGCAGTGGGGCCGCGTGGTGGACTATGCCCTGATACCCTCTCTATAAAGAAGGCTTTTGCCCAGCAGTGGGACATGTATAGGCTGTTACTTTACTTTTTTTTATTGTTATAAAAATGGAGGGGTCAAACAAAAGCAAATTAATAGTGTTGATTGTATCACAGCAAGCTTGTCCGTCATGATTTGCAATTATTCACCGTACAATTCTGCATTGGTTTTAAGCGAAGTCTGGACAAAGCAATGTAACATACAGACGATAGACTGGCCAATAGCCTTTCTTTACTTTCTATAATGTATCAAAAATTACTATTAGGGCAGCACTGAGGATTGGAGGACTTCACGTATCTATGAAATATTTTTTTTTGTTAATATTTCGAAAATATGCAGGTTTCATCACGATATTTTCCTTCACCGCTGAGCACGTGATTAAAATTAACAATTTCATCGGTGCCGGCACCGGGGATCGAACTCAGGTTGCTCGAGTATATGGAAGTAAATCGAACGCCCGGACAATGAGATATTACGGCTCATATAGATATATTGTTGAGTCTTTTTATTTATATCTTTGACAACAACAGCTAAAATTATGTGTATGGACAAAAATTAATGAACATGTACTTTCAAGCAGGATTTCTTAAGTTGAAGCTCGACTCATGATTATTTGAAGTGATTAGATTAGATTAGATTTTCTGAAATTTTTTTCCTAATCATAATCAAACGAACACCATTAATTATGTACAACTTGATCGGTTTCATAAAATTTTGATATTCTTAATAAAAAGATGTCACGCTGATTCATAACATTTATTATTTACATACACTCATTGTTTATTTACATACACTCATGAGAGTTTAAGTAAATAAACATCATGAGCCCAATTTTCAAAAGGTTGTCAACGCATCTGCAACCCTCGGGTGTAGCAGATGTCCATAGGCGACGGTATTCACTTAACATCAGGTGGACCGTCTGCTCGCTTGGCAACTTTTCACATTAAAAAAAAATCATCAAAAGTATCATTTACTGGTGCGTTATTCTAATGCGAAAGTGTGGAAAAAACTGATGAAACCAAAGAATAAAATAAAATAAAATCGTAATGCAAGAAGAAAAGCGTGCATATTATAATTGGTTACATCATTTAATTTCATGGTTACATCACTAATTTTGAGTGCATAATTCAGAGCCGTAATAGCTCAGTGTCCGGGCGCTCGCCTTTAATTCAATATACTCGAGCAACCTGAGTTCGATCCCCGGTGCCGGCACCGATGAAGTTTTTACCTTTAAGTGCTGACTTATCACGTGCTCCGCGGTGAAGGAAAACATCGTGAGGAAACCTGCATATTTTCGAAATAATAACAAAAAAATATATATTTCGAAGATGTGTGAAGTCCGCCAATCCGCAGTGGGACCGCGTGGTGGACTATGCCCTGATACCCTCTGTATAGAGGAGGCCTTTGCCCAGCAGTGGGACATGTACAGGCTGGTACTTTCACTAATTTCTGTTATCTTCTTCTGCTATAGATTCAAAGTTTATCACTAGTAGCGCGCGAAAGGGCATCGGAATTGCTGGGCGATTTGGAGGCCGTTTTGAAATCTAGAAGCAGCGATGATTTGGATCCCTCGTTGGACAAAGTGGTCGACGCCATGCGGAATTTCCTGAATACCGCACAGGTGAGGTTATTTATTAATTTATTTACGATTTATGTACTAGACAAAGGCGGACTTAATGCCAAAGGCATAAGTAAACCTTAATCTTGGAGATATAATAAATAATAATAAACTTTGCCTTTGTCTGCGAAATGTTTGATCTTTCCTAGTTGTTTCTAGTGTATTAAAAGCTTACTCAGTGTAGGAAGAACCCCCACTAGATGGAGTGGCGACCTGTGCATATGTGCGGGAAGTCGATGGATGCAGGTGGCTCAGGATCGTACTTCATGGCAGTCTGTGGGGGAGGCCTATGTTCAGCAGTGGACTCAAACAGGCTTAATTAATGATGATGATGATGATGAAGGCTTTGTTGTACGAGACAAAACGCGTATTTAAGTAAGGGCCCTTTGTGATTTGCTGATGGTATTAGCAAATCACAAATTTTTTTATTGATTCAGACTATACTAGAACTATTATACAGACTTTACTCAAGAGTTCGAGTGTAAAGGCAATTAAAGTACAATAATAAAATTACATTGTTAGCATTAGAGGAACCTCATTACGAAACGGTGGTAGATTAAAAAAATTACTGTCGATAGATGAAGTGTATATTTCTTACTTCGATGAATACATGATTTGGTTTGATTTCAGCTTTATAAACATGGATGATTCGGTGGCGTAGTTAGTTCGTTATTGGCTTCGGCGTCGGCGGCCGTAGGTTCGATTCCCACACGGGACAAGTATTTGTGTGACCCACAGATAATTGTTCCTCATCTGGTGTTTGTCCACGTTGTTGTTCCCAATTAGAGTTGGCGTCAGGCAGGCGGCTGGTCGTTAAGAAAAACCACTTACAACATGATTCACACGCTGTTCCGACCCCACATATATAGGTGGAAAGGCAGGAGGACGATGACGACCATTAGAAACTCTTTACAACTCAGGATAAGGGCAGTGTTGTTTAAAGAAAAAAAAAGAAACATTCCTACATCTCCGATGTTACGAACAACCATAGGCAATGTTTCTTCCTCACTGTCCTGACAGTGACGCACCCCACGCTTTTCTGCAATAAAAAAAAATTGTTAATCATGTTACCTGTAATTAGATTTTACCTATACACATTGAAATAAATATAAAACATTCGAAGAATACGGCTGATACCGCGAGCGATGTCAGCTGCAAGTTCGAGCTGCTGTCATCAGCTGAAAATCTGGAGGAGTGCTGCAAAGAGCTGTCTTCCAGCTGGCGTCAATTGGAGTCGAACCCCATGAGGCGCCAGCTCGAAGCGAGGTTGCGGGATTTGGATGCTGCAATCTCTGCTCTGAAGGCTGCTTACCACGGTCCAGATGGTAACTCGTCAGTTTTTTTTTATGTGAAAAGTTGCCAAGCGAGCAGGCGGTTGCCCTGATGTTGAGTAAATACCGCCGCCCATGGACATCTGCTACACCCTAGGGTTTGTAGATGCGTTGATAATCTTTTTGAAAATTGGGCTCCGGCCACCTCACTCACCAGACGAAACGCGTAAGATTATACTTCCACTTCACGCCGGTCTTCTGTGAGGTCGTGGTACTTACCCGGACGGCCTGCCCATTCGTGCAACAGCCGAGGCTGCTGCGTGGCCCAACCACTTATAGTTTCCAGATATTGTGTAATTAGCGTAGGTAAAAATATTCACATTAGTAAGTAATCGATTAGAATCCGTGAGAAAGTAGCAGAGCGATCACACAAAAATAGAAATTGTTCAGTTAAGCAATAACACAAAAAATAAAAATAAGTTTTCAAAGAAAGAAACAAAAGTTTTTATGAGTAGTAAACGTAGAATGTTAGTAAGAAAAAAAGTATAAGTTATTTTTAAGTGAAAACGTTAAGCAAAAGAGAAGTGTATATATAGACAATACACACACACAAATTAGCAATAAAAACACTTAGCAGTACAAAGAAAAAACAGCATAATCCTGGGTTAATTTAAGCTATTAGAATTAAATTAGTAGATATTAGTGTTTAGTTTAAGCTCAATATTAAAAATTTAATGAATATTTAACAAAATAAAAACAAAACTCAAATTAAATTTGCAATAATTACGTTAGCTGCAGCCGCAGGTCTTAAAAATACCAATTAAAATATAAATTTAATAGAAGAAAGATTAAAATAATTCTATGACTAAACTAAAGTGATTAGCTTGGTCTAAGTGTGACCGAAGAATTTCGAAATCCGATGCGAACTTGCACGGGCGTCGGGTTGTCGGCCCACTGACTCGGCGCCTTTAAGTAGGTTTTACATACGGTACTTGGCGATTTTCGTGTAATATAACTACGTAATCCAAATTATACATATTTGTGCCATAGGTCCGTGGAGTCCACGCACATGCAATTTTTTTAAAAGTATATGTCCTAGACTTAACGCCGCGGCTGGTGACGACAGAGCTGGTTCTTTTCTCGCTCAAAGGAGGAAATGCAGCTGGCGTTCTTGGCACCATGCCGCGTGGATTAGGTTTATTAGATAATATGTAATTTAGATAGATTTAATCTCGTAAATATTATATCAATAAACTGTATGAGTTCATTGATACATGTTTGAATGTAAACAAAGAGTTCATCGTTAGCTTCAAGGGTCCTTTTTTTGCATTAAAAGTAAAGTAACAGCCTATACATGTCCCACTGCTGGGCAAAGGCCTCCTCTATACAGAGGGTATCAGGGCATAGTCCACCACGCGGCCCCACTGTGGATTGGCGGACTTCACAAGACATAACTTCGAAACATATTTTTTTTTTGTTATTATTTCGAAAATATGCAGGTTTCCTCACGATGTTTTCCTTCACCGCGGAGCACGTGATAAGTCAGCACTTAAAGGTAAAAACTTCATCGGTGCCGGCACCGGGGATCGAACTCAGGTTGCTCGAGTATATTGAATTAAAGGCGAGCGCCCGGACACTGAGCTATCACGGCTCCTTTTTTTCCATTAGTGCTATTTGATTTCGAGCCAACAATAAACTTTTTTTCGATAGAGAAAAATTACAAATGAAATAATCAACAAGCAGAATTATTTGGTCGCTCACAGTTTTCGAGAAAAAAATATTTAAACCTTGTTATTTTCACTACGAAAGTCTGCCATTTTACTAAGTACTAGATAGGTTGACTCAATATACAGTACTGCCAATAAGATAAATATAGGAAGCGGGCGATGTCTTAGTCGTATCGATTATAAGACAATTTATTAATAGAAATTAAAAAAAATTATACATAATTTTTAATGTATAAATAAAAAAATTTAACGTGTTATTTTCACTAAAAACGTCCACCATTTTATTAATTTCACTTCAAACTTCAAAAACTGGTTGCACAGTACGTACAGCCAACATGATAAATATAAGTAGCGAATGATGTTATACTCGTATCGATTGTAAAATCGATTAAATTAAAAAAAAAATGAGTCACAGATCCGACACAGAGCATCCCGACTCCATGTGGTCTTGTGGCCCTACCCCTAGAGTGATCAGTGAACATTAAAAGGCGGAGCCAGAACCTCACGTCGGAGGGCCTGAGGCCGAGACGCCTGTCTTTTAGGACAAGTCAGAATTTAGTAATAATTGTTTGATTGGCAAGAAAATGCATAACGACAATTTAAAAAGTTATGTGGTTAAATGATAATCATTTTTTTGACGTTAAATAATTGTTTTATGAAAACTTGACATTATATTACGTGACATTAAATTATTGAGAATTTGATTATAAATAAATTTTGTTCACTTTATTTACATAGTAAATAAACACTTTAGCTAATGCCATTAATACTTTGCATGCTATTTATAAATTTGCTGAACATGTAGTTCAATATTAATGATTTGTAACACCTCTATACCATGGTACATGAATTTTTTTTAATAAAGATTTTATGGCTTGGTAGATGGTACATGGTATAGAGGTGCAACGTGGTATAACATTGTACCTTAGATATGGATAGTATAAAGTACGAAGCATGAAATTGTTGTGTAAATACCATAATAGTACAAAATACAACACTGTATCCGCGACAATTACTAGTCACAGACAACAGTTCTTTCTCCGTTCATTTTTATTTTATTACGATTTGGATATTCAATTTATTATATCGTTATATCGGATCAAAATATATCGGCCAAAAATATCGATTATATTTTAAAAAAAATTAGATGTATCGATATTTTTTCGGCATCCCTACGCTCTATGGGCGGCCGTCAGGGTTGCCACCTTAGGGGTTTTTCCTCCATAATCAGGGGGTAAACAAAGGCGTTGGGAGTTTTTAAGTTTACATTTTCAGGGTTATTTTTAGGGACTTTTTGACTACTTTTATTTTTCCATAAGTTCTATTTTTCATTTTTTTTAATAACAATAACTGGGGTAACGCAATCTTCCCAATCATTTTTAATTGTTGGGTTAGCGACGTTTAGTACGGTTTTTCATTACTAAGAATGCGCAGTTGAACTATGGAAAGTAGAGATAAAAGTGTCCGTCAAAACGAATTCAATAGCGGTAGCGTAGGATAAATTTTAAAGAAAGCGCCAAAAGTAATTAAAATTTTTATATCATTCATTATGAATCACATTTTTGGGTTTACGGTAGAAATATTCATCTAAAGAAATCATAAGAGAGATTTTTTTATAAAATGAATTTTCTTACAATTTTTGGGTTTTTTTTTTATTTAAGCTTTAGGGACAAATATTTTCGAGAGTTGGTAACACTGGCGGCCGTGTGTCTTCGTCAGGTCAGGTTAGCTTAGTTCAGTGACTTACTCGTGAGAGTATTAGTATTAGTGTTCTGTGGCTTAGTTTCAATTTGAACGTGACTTAATTAGGGTCGCATGTGTTATTTAGTTTGTTTATCTCTAACGATGTCGGAACAGCAAACCGCACGCACTTATTCAAACCGCGAGTATTATGAGATGGTACGGTGCTACCTTTTAAGTGGTGAAAGCTTACGTGGTGCGCAAAGACTATATGAAAGTGAGTCATTACGGCGATTACAAAAACAGGGAATCAACTCAAGTGTACCCAATAGAAGGACAATTATGGCAGCCAACCAAAGGTTGTTAGAGCATGGACAATTTTCTACACCGGCGCATGCAACATCTCGAGGAGGTCATGCCACGATTAGCCCGGCGGTCGAAAATGCTGTAATCGAGTTTTTTGAACGGGACCCTCGTGCTAGCACCAGAGAAGCTTCTCGACAATTCGGCGTAAGCCGCTATTACGTGTGGAATCTGCTAAATTCTTTAGGATATCATTATAAACACGTTCCAGCACTAAATGATGACGATGGCCCGCCTCGAGTACAATTTTGTCAATGGTTATTGTCAAACATTGACTCTACAAATATTTTGTGGACTGATGAAGCTTTATTTACGCGAGTAGGAATTTATAATAGTCGTAACGAGCGCTATTGGGCAATGAACGATTCCCACGTAATTAAAGACAGTCATCATCAAGTGCGATTTAGTGTCAATGTCTGGGCTGGTATTATTGATAACGAAATCTTGGGGCCGTTTTTTATCGAGGGTCGACTGACTGGCGGTAATTATCTGAAAATATTACGAAGTGTGAGTTCGGATTTTTTAGAGAACGTGCCTCTAGCGCTGTTAAATAACTTTTATTATCAACATGACGATGCACCGCCTCATTATTCAAGTGGCGTACGTGATTATTTAAATAACGAGTATGGTGATAAATGGATAGGACGCGGGGGCCCGGTACCGTGGCCTCCAAGGTCATCGGACCTTACTCCATTGGACTTTTATTTGTGGGGAGAAATTAAGAAACGTGTTTACGTTGAAGAAGCGCAAAGCTATGAGGACCTTCGCAGTAAAATAGTTACTGCATTTGAAGATTTGAAACGTGCTCAGCCACAAGTTATATTAAAAAATAGTCTGAGAAAGCGTGCTCAACTTTGCATTAAGAGAAATGGACTCAATTTTGAACATTTGCTAAAATATTAGTGTGTTTTTATAAAGAGAACTGGACTCCATTTGAACATTTGTTAAAATATCAGTGAGTGTTTTTGTGACTAAATGAATAGGTAAGTTTAATTGTAAATTGTTGATTTCACTTTTAAATACGCCTTAATAAATACGAACAGTAGTATGCACTTTATTATGAACGAAAATTGGAATCATAAACTGATATGATACGCGTGTAGTAACAAACTTTAGTTGTGTGCGTGTCACAAAGTAGAGTGGTGTCGATATTTATTTATGCCTCCTATACTTTTGAAACGTTTAATATTTAGTTATGAATGATCGCGCGTAAAATATATATATCACGCACTTTTTGAGATAAGTTCAAATGAATGTAATTAATTGATTATGAGTGATTTTAAATATTTATGTCTAATTTATGTCTAGAATTTAATAAAAAAAATGGATACATGACATACCTCTTTGTATATGGACTATAAAGATTAACTTTAAAATACAATTAGGTAAAGTTTTTTTTTAATTAAAGTTAATGGAAGATGAGTCTAAAAACCACCCACATGTACATACATCTTTAGATTCCATACACATTTATGCCAATTGGCATGTATGGCAAGGGAAATTTAAATTAATTTCGCTTGAATAAATATAGCTTAAAACGGGTTTCCTTAAACAATAGTCTTGGGTTAACAAAAGGGCCAGATCAGGGACGGTTTTTGGAGTTTTCTTTAAATTACTACTATAACTCAGTAGTATTGTGTACATACTTTTAAAAAAATGGTGCAATTTATTTATTTTATTAGATGATTAAAAGAGAACATTTCATAATTTGTGGTCTATTCTTATTTCATCTTCTCACATGCTTATCAATGGTGGTACAGTGATAGGCTTCCCTCCATGTTAAGACTTGAATATATATATATTTATCTACAAATAATACCAATTTGAATCCATTGATACTTGTACATGCAATCCGACTTAACTATGAGTATATATCTTCTAATTCCAGAAACAAACTCCGATGAAGACAGGCTTAAGTTTATTGCAACTCTGTCTGCAGCCAAGAATAATGTTCAAAGTGCACATGAATTGATTAACAAAGTGAGTAATATATTTTAACAATATACAGCGTGTCTTTACAATCGCAACAATAAATGAACACACATATAGAGGATAACTTTTTAAAATTGTATTAAACATTTACTTTTTTTAAACATCAATATTTACAGAGATATAAAATTTTCTAAAACAAAGAATTTTAGAACACCCTTACGTATAAAACTGTAACGTATACTTATTCCTATACCCTTCTTTCAATTCCATTAAAAACTCTTCAGCAATAAAGTGGATAAGCTTAGTGTTTTAATATTTAATGAGGTGGGGCTTAAGGAGTTTGTCTTGTCTTTGTCTTTTTTTTAAAACATTGCCCTTACTTTAGGATAACATTATCCTGTGTTGTAAGGACATTTTACAAACATAAATTGCACGAGGACAAACACCCACACGCGAAGCAACTATCTGTGGGCCACACAAATAATTTTCCCGTGTGGGAATCGAACCCCCGTCCCCCGACGCTGGCGTCACGGAGTCATCACTTATACAGCGTGTCGTTACCATCGCGACAATAAATGAATACGCATATAGGGCATAACTTTTTAAAGTTGTATTAAATATTTAAATTATTTAAACATCAATATTTAGAGAGTTATTAAATTTTCCACAACAAAGAATTTTAGAACCCCTTACCTATAAAAGCGTAACGTAAAGTTCATTTGTAAAGGTCACAAAGCATATGAATGGGTTGAATGAATTTAAAAGAGACAAAACATACTGTTAGAAGGAGAGGCTTGTAATGCGACACTGTGGCAACATATGAAAAGGTCTCTGAATATATGAATCAGTCAGTTGTAGTTGTATAAGATGTTACAAATTTTGTTTCTTTTTTACTTAATTAGTTTGTTTGAAAAATATTTTTTTTAATTATGGATTTTATTTCAAAGTCAAAGTCAAAATTTCTTTATTCAACAGGCTTATTTTAAGCTCTTATTGAACGTCAAAAACTACCACCGGTTCACTAAACTAGACCTGCAAGAGAAGAACTGGCAAGAAACTCTGCGGTCATATATGTATATTTTATTTCTATTTTTTTTTAAGTATTTAAGTATACACACAAAATTATTTTAGTATAATTTAGCAGGAGCCAGGGGACTTGCAAGTGCAGAGCAAGAGTCATTTCCACAAATCCTTTTCCTCAATGTATTCCTCGACATTATAATAAGCCCTTTCCATTAAGGTGGCTTTTACAAAATGTTTGAAACTATTTACACTTAATTGTTTGTGGATGTCACCTATTCTATTATATAAGTTAATACATCTACCAAGAAACGATTTCCTGGTTTTAGCTAGTCTAAACCTCGGTATTTGTAAAATGATGTATGTTATTTCGTACATACATGATGTTCTCAAGTATGTATAGCGACGGGATCGTTAAGATGATTTAACGTTAAATTTTTTTTATGATTATTGGCAAGTAGCGTTAGACGTGTGTTCATTTATTGTCGCGATGGTAACGACACGCTGTATAAAACGCAAAAACCAAGGTTTTTTGCGTATTATATTTAGATATTGAGTAATAAGTTATACAATAAATTTGTGGTGGAGCTGCGATTATTTTATGACAAATTAAACATTAAAATTTAAAGTGAAGAGATTAGCACTGTAAACATTTAAATTTTATATAGCAATGGCAACATCTTTCCTTCGAATTTTCATTGTAAAATGATATTATTATTTATATTCATATAAACAGAAAATAGTAAATAATGAACGAATGATTGTAGATTAAGAGGATAGGTAATGAATTATTAATTTAGTTTTGGTGTGTAAATGGTGCAAATCAAAATGAATTTGCTCTTCTATAATGTGAAAATTTCTTTAATGTGAAAAGTTGCCAAGCGAGCATGGTCATGTTACACCCGAGGGTTACAGATGCGTTGACAACCTTTTAAAGTTTGGGCTCCGGTTACCTCACTCACCAGACAAAACGCGAAAGTATTTGTTATACTTCCACTTTACGCCGATCTTCTGTGAGGTTGTGGTACTTACCCGGACTAATAACAGTCTAATAAATTTTATATGAACACCGAGCAAGCATGCTTTAATCTGTTGCTCTGGCTAAGCACAGTCAACTGCCATCGGAGTCTCGATCCGCATCGAACCTCAATAGCCCGTAGGCGACACTCCTTAGTTAACGCACGCATGAGCACACATGCTTGGCCCCCACCCACCAGTTCTACGTTCGATGAAGCTTTAATAGTCTCGGGACTGAAAGTGTTGACATCAGTTAATACAAGATTCAAGATACTATGCTCTATATACCCTCTGAACAAAGGAGGCCTTTGCCTAGCTGTGGGATATGTATAGGCGGTTACTTTACTTTTACTTTTAACTGCTTCAGCCCTCGGCTACTCTTCCGCTGATGACAGGAGCTGATCTGCAAAGGCTGTTAGCACAGCGGCTGGCACAGCTGAACTCTGCTATTGCGTCTCTTATACAATCTGCTGGTACGATTTTTCTTATAACATTTTTCTTCAGGCTTTTCATTTAAAAGTTGTTCTAGCTAGAGTCTGTTGGAGATCTACTGTATAATTTTTTTTTTGTTTGATTCTTATCCAGAATGGTCCCTTAATATACATAAACACATATAACTTTCAAATATGTGAGCTTTTAAAAATAATGAACAATGGTTTTCATTTTAATACAATTTTTCCATTTGTTTGCTAACAAATGGAAAAATATTATTAGCCTTTGTAATACATATGTAAGAACTTAAAGAATCAAACAAGATGGAAAGTAAAGTAATCACAATTTGATATACATTTGAGATAGTTAAAATTTATAATATTATTGCTTAGACTTATCAAACATTGCAAAAAAATTAGCGCACATTGTTAAATTAAACTGTTTAAAGAATTTTTACAGTGTTTAGTTTTAATTTAAAATTCTATACTTCAAATATATTATCCAGTTAGTATTATTTCGTAGTATATCAATTTAATTAATTGCTTATGATATATATCTTTTTATTTGTATAATTCAACTACCTCTTGGTTAATTTTAACTCGTTCTGCTGTTTCTAGATCATGAGAATCTTAACTATGTTGAAGCAGATAAGGCCTCCAAAGCGATTGCCAAACTTCTGCCGGCCATTATACGAGGTGTGTCCACAATTTTCATTACTATTAATATTTTATTCACACTACTATTGTAGGCATATAAGATCATATGTGAAAAATTTTATGAACGTATGTTAATACTGAGAGTGTTTAAGATAGAATGTGATGTATAACTAATAAATAGAGATCTGTATTGGAAACAGTCGGTGATTTAGTGGTTTATGTTATATAATGTGGCATGACAGTTGCTTACTAGCAAATCGTTACCCGACAAATGCACTTGGCTTACGACAGTTCAAACCTCAATGAACCACATTTAAACATTATTCTCTGGGCCACCGATTTCGAAGATATGTGAAGTCCGCCAATCCGTAGTGGGGATTATGTTGCCTCTACACAAAGGAGGCCTTTGCCCACAATGACTCTACCGATTTCAGTCAAAAGTTTTTCGTCGCGTTTATTTCAGATTCAAACGCTTTGACGAATGATGACGCAAGCGGAAGGGACCTGATGAGTAAGCTGAGATCTCTCTGTGATGCGACAAGAGAGCTCTGCTTGGAAGCCGAACTGGGTCAGGCCAAAGTAAGTGACTTAAGTACAAATACAGAGGGCTTATCTCTTCTCAAATTTGATTTAATACTAACTCTTTTGGTACCAAAGTACAAATGTCGTATTGGTAAATTTGATTTAATTCTTAATTTGTAAAGCTGTTGATGGTTTGTATGTTGTTTGCTACTATAATTGGAATGGGCACCAATCATGTGTTTTGGTTTCTTTTTTTATTTACTTGTGTTGGTGTCCCTCTGTTGGTGAAACTAAGTAAAAAAATTAATCTGTGTGTGTAAAATGCTTTTATAACATAAATTTTTTCTGCAATATTATATAACACATTGTCGATGAAAGTATCTTACAATAATACTGTTGTTTTTTATATATCTGAAATTACTTTTTTCACCGTATATCAATAAGTAAGAGTGTTCTATCCATCTTCCCACTGTTTGAACGATTTTTAATGGTAATGTTAAATAATTTATTTTGTTACAGAGAGCAAATGATTCCATCTCAAAGTTCGTGGACGCGTCGAACAAACTTCGTTACGTGTTCAATCCTAGGGCAGATGCAAAGCGAGAGAATGTGGTATGTCCTTTTTTCTCTTTATCGTAACATTCCCTCAATGCTGAATGATTAGTGGTCTACTTTCCGAGGTCCTAACCTTCTGTTAATTTACTCTTAACAATAATTAATTATGCAGACGTGGAAGTCACTGCATCACTAC